GTAAGACCTAAAATGTGAATGCTAATGTGGTTATGCAAAATAAACTATTGAGTATTGAGTATTTTCGATTCGATCAAAAAGTGCGTTTTATCTAGGGGGGCAGTACTAGGGCCTTTTTTCAGAATGCAAAGTGAGTCCGAGTAAAGTTCCAATTAGTTACTTCCTGATTACCATTACTTAGCAAGTAAAATAAGAAGTAGGTACCTAATCTCAGCGTTATTCAGAGATGGTTAAATTCGATGAATTGCTACTCGTGTCTTTAGGCAACGAATAGCCTACTTGACACTTTACTCGGAGATGGTGAATGAGGCCCATATTTTGGACGTGTTTAAAGAACTTGTTCTTCTTTTCGTGTCGACAACAAACCTACACAGTGTCAGCCCAAAACTCCGCTACAAGAGTGGCGTAGTTTAAAGAACTGAAAATGAATTAATTTTATGTAGGTACCTATTTTAACAACGAAACGTTTGTTTTAGATACGGTTGCATACATAGCGATGTCCGTGGCTTCGTCTGACTCGGGGGCGGAGTACCACGCGTACTCTGAACGGACGCTGGCCGTGATCAAGCCGGAGGCCTATGAGGATGCCGAAGCTATAGAAAACCATATAAGGAACAATGGGTTCACTATCCTTGCGGTAAGATTGAATTTTGGATGTTGCTTTTGATGCTTGATGTACTTATTTTAGTCGCAATACACAACAACATTTGGCTTTGACATAAATAATGCATGATTAGATTAGATTTATGTCAGTTTGGTTAATTCTAGAGCTAGCTAGCTGTAGCTAAATATGTAGTACTTATGATTTATTAAAGTTGCGGGTACAATGCAAGTAGTCTTATGGGTAGAAAAATGCTCACTTAAGTATGTTTTTGCACGCTATAATGTAGCATCTCATTATCATATGCATTTTATCATATGCAATAGTAGTAGGTACCAGTGNTTTTTTTTTAGTTATTGCATCATTATTTACATTTTAAGCATTCCCAGGTGCATACCTACTTAATTACTTATTTCAGTAAGAATTACGAGTATATGGATAACTCTTTGATTAGTAAGATATTTAGTCGACCGTTTGGTGTAGTGGTTCAGAACGGACTACTATGCCGAGAGGTCCCGGGTTCGAATCCCGGCCGGGCAGAAATTGAAATGATGAATTTTAATTTATGTGACGGGTCTGGGTGTAAATATGTATAATATGTATGTATTTAATAAAAAAAAAGTATATAAGTAGTATATCCGTTAAGCTAGCACCCATAACACAAGCATTGAGTTGCTTACTTTGGGGCTAGCTGGCGCTGTGTGAAATTGTCCAAAGATTTATTTATTTATTTATTTATTTGCACAAAAAGTACCTACTTAACACATTACTGTTAATGACTTCTTAAAAACAACAGTTTTCCTATTTAGACGTCTGCCATCGCTGATTGGAGTGATGCCGATTATTCAGATACGGACGTGGATTAATGACTTGTTTTTTTTTAGGACTGCGCCTGTAAAATGAATATCGTACAATCTTACGTGTATCTTATGCGTAGAAGACCCTACGTTTGTATATCTACTGCATCATTATTTACATTTTAAGCATTCCCTTGCATAGGTATTTCAAATCATTTAGGTGCATACTTATTTCAGTAAGAATTACGAGTATATGGATAATGTTTAGTAAGATGGTTTGCACAAAAAGGGTATACTTATCACATTACTGTTAACAGCTTCTTAGCCAGATTAAAGATATTATCGTTGGTCTAAGCTACTTCAATCCACTTCACCGCTGAAAAAAATTAGTTTATTTATTACAGGGAACAGCTGTTAAAACGCCCATTTTACATGTATACGCATTAGCGTACCAAGCAAATAAAACTCGCGTCGTCTTTCAATATTTTGGCCTATTTCCTAAATAGATTTCGAGGGCAAAGGGCAAAGCTGGCAGACATACATAGCGAGATACAACCAAACATACAACCTTCATTTGGAACACAATTAACCTCATTACTGCGGCCTACATACGTCAAATGTGTTATCCTTTTTGTCATAATTGCATGTTGTTTGTGTATTTCATGGAAATAATTAAAATAAATTAAAAACAGATCTGCCTGAAATATCTGGAATTCTATTTCTAGGATATTGTATAAGGAACGGTTTGGTAAGAACTTAAAATGATTTCACACTAATTAGGCTACTTGGTAGACTTGAGGAAATGAGGAATAACTTAATCATAAAACTTAAAAAATGCAGCATTTTTATAGCTATTTACGTAATGATTAAAGTTTTACAGTGTAGATTATGCGTTTATTTACTTTTTAAGTACTACTGAATTTTAATTTACATTGAATGTCAATAGTAAATACAGTACTTAAGGCCTTCACCATGTAAAGAGAGTCCGAGTAAAGTTCCAATTAGTTACTTCCTGATTACCATTAGGTACTTAGCAAGTAAAATAAGAAGTAATCTCAGCGTTATTCAAAGATGGTTAAATTCGATAATTGCTATTCGTGACACTTGACACTACGAGATGGTGAACGGGGCCCTTGATGTAAATTATAATACAGGTTGGCCTAGAAGAAAATTCACTTTTGAAAATTCAAGGAATCAAAAACTGTACGAGATAACTCTAACGAAAGTTTTCCAAAATTTTGATGTATGTTGACCGAATGTTATAAACGTCAAGGGAATCACATTTACGATCAAATTTATGAAAGAAAGTAAATTTTAAAATAAATTGCAATAAATTTCCTTTAAATTGCAATAGTTAAAGTTCTAAAAAAAATAACAGTTTTCGTTTCCTTGAATTTTCCAAAGGTGAATTTTCTTCTGGGCCACCCTGTATTTAGGACGTTTAAAGAACTGGGAATGAATTAATTTTATGTACCTATTTTTACACCGAAACGTTTGTTTTAGATACAGTTGCATACATAGCGATGTCCGTGGCTTCGTCCGACTCAGGGGCGGAGTACCACGCGTATTCTGAGCGGACGCTGGCCGTGATCAAGCCGGAGGCCTATGAGGATGCCGAAGCTATAGAAAACCATATAAGGAACAATGGGTTCACTATCCTTGCGGTAAGATTGCATTTTGGATGTTGCTTTTAATGCTTGATGTATTTTAGTCGCAATACACAACAACATTTAGCTTTGACATAAATAATGCATGATTAGATTAGATTTATGTCAGTTTGGTTAATTCTAGAGCTAGACTGTAGCTAAATATGTAGTACTTATGATTTATTAAAGTTGCGGGTACAATGCAAGTAGTCTTATGGGTAGAAAAATGCTCACTTAAGTATGTTTTTGCACGCTATAATGTAGCATCTCCTTATCATATGCATTTTATCATATGCAATAGTAGTACCAGTGTGTCCTAGTTTAGCGTACGATTGTCATAACAAGGAATTGATTATGAGAACTAAGACGTAGATAAATGTTGCAATCGTTCGTTACAGCCGAATGACGTCCACTGCTGGACAAAGGCCTCCTCCAAGGTTTTCCACAATGAACGGTCCTGCGCTGCCCGCATCCAGGCTCTTCCCGCGACCTTCACCAGATCGTCGGTCCACCTAGTAGGAGGCCTGCCCACGCTACGTCTTCCAGCCCGTGGTCGCCACTCGAGAACTTTTCTGCCCCAACTGCAATATTGTAATAATTTTATCTAGACAATGTTAACCTTAATATAATAACTATCACGATAATAATGAGACTCTTACATTATGGAATAACATTATTTGGTATATTACTTACTTCCTAAAAGTAACACTTAAAAGTTGCTCGTAGCTACGCGTCTACGACTGTATCTCGTAGGCTACGACCGAAAGTTGCTACAGATGCTACAACGCTCCTTCACCTAGGGTTCTTTCGAATTAGACGTTTTGAGACGGACGTTAGTCGTGCGTTTGCCCCTCTGTACCTTTGCATGAACAACTTTCGTCTTCGAATCGTTTGCGTATTCGACAAAATTCGATACCTACTCAACCTTCGAATTAAACGATAACGTGACAATTTTGATTCTCAAACAAAGTTTCTCATAGGTACTAAGTTCACTTTACGACACGTTCACAAGGGCGCTGTTGTACTAGTTTTCGTACTAAATCTTTTGATGGCGATTCGAATACACAAACTATTCGAACTCGAAAGTTGTTCATGCTAGCCGTACTGTTCGTAATTGATTGTCATTTATATTACAACGCAGTTGTAATACAATTTTCAGTGTGCGGTCCTGCAAACGGCCGACAAACGTCCGTCTCAAAACGCCTAATTTGAAAGAGCTCTTACAGTCACCGTCTTATCGATCTCGGAAGTGCACATTTGCATGCATAAAATACACAGTCAGTTTTAATCAATCTCGAACATACCTAAAAGGGGTCATCCCGTGTCCAGGGAATGCAGGGGCGCGGTGTCCTGGGGCGACGGAGGGCTGTATGCAAAATGCTTTTGACGTCTCTAATGACGAACTTTGAACTAAAGTTGCTGTGCCCTAACTGGGTCCACATTGTATAACTGCCTAAATTGTAAGACCTAAAATGTGAATGCTAATGTGGTTATGCAAAATAAACTATTGAGTATTGAGTATTTTCGATTCGATCAAAAAGTGCGTTTTATCTAGGGGGGCAGTACTAGGGCCTTTTTTCAGAATGCAAAGTGAGTCCGAGTAAAGTTCCAATTAGTTACTTCCTGATTACCATTACTTAGCAAGTAAAATAAGAAGTAGGTACCTAATCTCAGCGTTATTCAGAGATGGTTAAATTCGATGAATTGCTACTCGTGTCTTTAGGCAACGAATAGCCTACTTGACACTTTACTCGGAGATGGTGAATGAGGCCCATATTTTGGACGTGTTTAAAGAACTTGTTCTTCTTTTCGTGTCGACAACAAACCTACACAGTGTCAGCCCAAAACTCCGCTACAAGAGTGGCGTAGTTTAAAGAACTGAAAATGAATTAATTTTATGTAGGTACCTATTTTAACAACGAAACGTTTGTTTTAGATACGGTTGCATACATAGCGATGTCCGTGGCTTCGTCTGACTCGGGGGCGGAGTACCACGCGTACTCTGAACGGACGCTGGCCGTGATCAAGCCGGAGGCCTATGAGGATGCCGAAGCTATAGAAAACCATATAAGGAACAATGGGTTCACTATCCTTGCGGTAAGATTGAATTTTGGATGTTGCTTTTGATGCTTGATGTACTTATTTTAGTCGCAATACACAACAACATTTGGCTTTGACATAAATAATGCATGATTAGATTAGATTTATGTCAGTTTGGTTAATTCTAGAGCTAGCTAGCTGTAGCTAAATATGTAGTACTTATGATTTATTAAAGTTGCGGGTACAATGCAAGTAGTCTTATGGGTAGAAAAATGCTCACTTAAGTATGTTTTTGCACGCTATAATGTAGCATCTCATTATCATATGCATTTTATCATATGCAATAGTAGTAGGTACCAGTGTGTCCTAGTTTAGCGTACGATTGTCATAACAAGGAATTGATTATGAGAACTAAGACGTAGATAAATGTTGCAATCGTTCGTTTCAGCCGAATGACGTCCACTGCTGGACAAAGGCCTCCTCCAAGGTTTTCCACAATGAACGGTCCTGCGCTGCCCGCATTCAGGCTCTTCCCGCGACCTTCACCAGATCGTCGGTCCACCTAGTAGGAGGCCTGCCCACGCTACGTCTTCCAGCCCGTGGTCGCCACTCGAGAACTTTTCTGCCCCAACTGCAATATTGTAATAATTTTATCTAGACAATGTTAACCTTAATAATAACTATCACGATAATAATGAGACTCTTACATTATGGAATAACATTGTTTGGTTTACTTACTTCCTAAAAGTAACACTTAAAAGTTGCTCGTAGCTACGCGTCTACGACTGTGTCTCGTAGGCTACGACCGAAAGTTGCTACAGATGCTACAACGCTCCTTCACCNACTTTACCTAGGGTTCTTTCGAATTAGACGTTTTGAGACGGACGTTAGTCGTGCGGTCGTGCGTTTGCCCCTCTGTACCTCTAGCATGAACAACTTCGTCTTCGAATCGTTTGCGTATTCGACAAAATTCGATACTCAACCTTCGAATTAAACGATAACGTGACAATTTTGATTCTCAAACAAAGTTTCTCATAGGTACTAAGTTCACTTTACGACACTTTCACAAGGGCGCTGTTGTACTAGTTTTCGTACTAAATCTTTTGATGGCGATTCGAATACACAAACTATTCGAACTCGAAAGTTTTTCATGCTAGCCGTACTGTTCGTAATTGATTGTCATTTATATTACAACGCAGTTGTAATACAATTTTCAGTGTGCGGTCCTGCAAACGGCCGACAAACGTCCGTCTCAAAACGCCTAATTTGAAAGAGCTCTTACAGTCACCGTCTTATCGATCTCGGAAGTGCACATTTGCATGCATAAAATCCACAGTCAGTTTTAATCAATCTCGAACATACCTAAAAGGGGTCATCCCGTGTCCAGGGAATGCAGGGGCGCGGTGTCCCGGGGCGACGGAGGGCTGTATGCAAAATGCTTTTGACGTCTCTAATGACGAACTTTGAATATTGAACGTGACGTGAGGGTAGAATCAGACTAGCTTTTGTCTATGGCTTCGTTAGTGATGGCGAATTGCAATAATCTCATAGGAACGTAATAATTTTGTCGTACACGACAAAGACAAAAATAATATTATTTGACCAAATTAAATAAAATTGAGCCCGCCGTAGTCTAATCTTTTAACATTTTGATCTAGTATTTTTTATTATTTTACTCATATTAATGTAACGTGTAATAAAATGGTCATGTAAAGTACTAACTTTTATTATTATTTTAAGAGTGATAATATTTCATACTTACTGAGAGAGATAGTAATAATAATAATAAATATCCTTGGACATTTTACACTGCGCTTCTAGTCCCAAACTAAGCAAAGCTTGTACTATGGGTACTAGACAACGGATATACATACTTAAATACTTTTAAGATAAGTTGTTCTACTTCTTAAGTAAGATAAGTTGTTCTGCGTTCAGAGTTACCATAACGACTTGAAGTCTATAAAGTAAAACCTTAAACATTCTTATTGCCTCATCAAAGCGCCCGTAAAATTGACGTCTCCTGTAAAACAATAAAAGGGGATCAATACAGTTGTTTACGACGACGCCGCTGTGGACATCGTTTACAATTCTAATTGGAACTCGAGTGCCCGCGCCTATGGGAACAGGCAGTTTCGTGAATGTAGTAGTGTAATGAAAACTCATAGCTCTTACTAAATTTATTGGTGAAATTCGATCAAAGTTGCCTACATCACTTTTTAATTATTAAAGTCAGGTTTATTCAATTCGATAAATAGGTAAATACTGAACACTTTATTGCTGTGGCATCTATGCAGTTTACCGAACAGGTGCACTTTTAGCAACAAAAAATTCTGTCGTGTTGTCGTCCACTGTGCCTTAATTAAATTTAGAAAAAAATGCAAGTTTCTATTGGCGTGGTCAATACAAATGTGTAGGTATAAAGAATAACGAGTCAGTTGGCGGTTCTGCAACATCAAACATAAGTATGTCTTTACTAAAGTTTTATTAAAAGCAAGGTAATAATAATAATAATGCACATCACAAACTATTCAGTCAACGCCTGACTTCTAGAATCAGCAAATAGTCAGAGATGAATAAACTTATTACAGCCTAGGCCAAACAAAATAACATGTATCGAAAATAAGTCAGAGAAAACAAGTTTTACGCCCGTATTCACAAACATTACTATGAGGTCTCACAGTGCGCGTGGACGCACAGGGTCACACACGAACCAATCACAGAGCTCTATTTAACACTGTGCGTTCGATTAGCTGCTTCACTTAAGCAAGCATCGTTTGTGAATACGGGCGTAAGTCTTAATCCTAAACCCATTTATATCTCTCAAGAGTGCTTGTAAATGCGCATTGATCTCACCAGTGGATCAAAATCAGCAATGTGCGATTTACACTTCGCAGCACTGAGTCAGTCACATCTTCGGCTTTGGGGTAGGGTTGTGCATTGTCCGACGTCTCCGGCAGAGGGTAGGGTTGCGACATGCAAATCTGAGAGCACGCGACCGGGGCCGCGGGGCGAGCGTTCATTATATTCCGCGTCACATGCGACCCTTGTTAGTGTAGGGTTGACGACGACATGAAAAAGTAATGTATATTTTTTTTGTAAAAAAAGAGGTTCGATTTTGTTTTATATTTATTTATGTTGTTCTTCATGAACTAGCATTATGAAAACAACACTCCTTGTTAATGGATTATGCAAGATGGGGATAGTCTTGTTCAATTATTTAAATTTTCACAACACTTTCTTACCTACTTTGTCACCAAGATAGTTACACTTTATTATACTAAAATAACTCTATGTACATTAAGAAGATTCTCAGGAAATTGTATGGGTACCTACTTAGGTAAATACTTACACACATCTACTTAGCTAATTAATTAGCTAATGCTAAAACAAATGTAATACCTAGAAATGTCTGCGTTGGTCGAATAATATTACATAGTAAAATTTAAGACGTAGCGTGGGCAGGCCTCCTACTAGGTGGACCGACGATCTGGTAAAGGTCGCGGGAAGAGCCTGGATGCGGGCAGCGCAGGATCGTTCATTGTGAAAAACCTTGGGGGAGGCCTCTGTCCAGCAGTGGACGTCATTTGGCTGAAACGTCGAGTAAAATTTTAAGTTAATTTTTTGCTCACGGTGTGACAGCCCTCACGGATCGGATCCGTCCCGTAAGTGCCGGCCCCCTGCTCTCGACGGTCACTGCTGTTATCTATGGAAACCATAAAAAAACTAATTAAGCATTCCCATTGACGTGTGCAGTGGGGCTTGCCGCGGACACCGACGCTATGTTATTGGAGGGAATATTGCGCTGGTCTGCCTACAAATTTTTGGTGAATAGGTAAAAATAGCAGGCACACGCTTGGTGTCGTGGTAGGGTAAGCTATATTTCGCCCGTATTCACAAACATTACTATGAGGTCTCACTGTGCGCGTGGACGCAAAGGGTGACACATGAACCAATCATAGAGCTCTATTCAACGCTGTGCGTTCGATTTTCTGCTTCACTTACTAAGTGCCCTGCAAAGGGACTACTTACAAAATAATATAGAAAGAATTTGAATCTGTATTTTGACGTAGAGCGCACGTGTAACTGAAAATTTTATTACTTAGATCAAATTTTCTACACTCATGTTTACTTTGGTGGTAGCCGATACTAACAAATAAAAGTGACGACGTGGGTTATGTGTCGTAGTAGTAAAACTTTTATCTGTCTAACAAATCAATACCCACGTGTGGACAGTCATAGAAAAAGAACGGCACGTGTGTAAGTTAATATCATTAGACAACATTGTAACGGAGAATAAATAATGAAAATAGTAGTTTCTACATATATTTACCTATTTACCAACATGTACTTACCCAAGATACGTACTAGGTACATGATGTTCTTTCAAACTATGTCCAGGCACTAATTTCCAAATGAGCATTTATGGGACTTAGGTAACTCATCGTTGCACTCCACTCACTCCTGCGCGGCGTAATCTGTTTTGAATGTAAAACTAACTGAAATTACTTAGCCCACAAAATTGACAAACTGAAGTTTGGACCAACGATCTGGTGAAAGTCGCAGGATGCACCTGGATGCGGGCATCATAGGACGGGTTATGGAAATCAGTGGGGAACTAGGGAAGGGCTTTGCTTAGCGCTGGACGGCATCAGTTTGAAACAAGCCCATAAAACCCAATAGGTTATACTGTCATGGGTCCTGAAACTAATCAGTAGATATGATTATTCCAGAAGCGTATAGTCCGCCTTACTCCCGAGCAAGCGGCGGAGTTGTACAAGGGCCATTACGGACGCCACCACTTCCCACACCTCGTGGCGCACATGTCCAATGGCCCCATCATTGCTCTCGTGCTGGCAGCTAAGAACTGTATACAGAAGTGGCGGACGCTTATGGGCCCTGCTCGGTATGTATTCTTCTTTTTTGACGAGTGCGTCGTAACACGAGCTGCACCTAGTGGGATGCCTGACCACCTCAGATCATGGAAGGGAATAGATGTGAAACGGGGGCGTGGCGCGTGTCTCCGCGATATGCCCAGAAACGAACATCGGCCGCGTAGCTTGGTTAGTCGCGATTCAGTCGTACTAAGGAAATGTTCTCCGAATTTTTTGGATAATGCGTCGTAACGTGCAATAAAACAAGTGAAACGAAGAACTACAGGAACAATGGAGTCATTTACTACATGTAAGTATTGCAAATCCATTGGTATTTTGGTTATAAATAAAAAAAACTTAACATTTTTACGAACGAATTCAGTGCCGTAACAGTTACTGCGATATCGAAATCTGTGGTGATAAAAATTCTAACACACTTGTACATTGACGATTTAGTTAGCAACCACTTTATGTCATGCTCAACTACTGCGCGATGTATTTAATTTCTTCCGATATCCACTATCGTGTGAAAATACACAGTACGGCCGCATGTGCCGGTCGTAACATAGTGCCGTGCTCGTGTTCTAATGCGGTTTCCTATTATCGATAAATAGAAGTAAATTATGATTTTCTATTTTGTAATTTTAAATAAAAAAATTATGTGTTACTTGCGATTATAAGATTTTACAAAAAAAATAATAACAGTAGAAGTAATTAGTAACTGTCAACTATGTAATTACTATAAGAGCTAGTTGAAAGCCTAATATAGGCATTATTTTTGATAAACATATGCGGTACGCAGATCGCCATAATTAATCCTTCAAGGCCCGCGAATCTAGACACAATAGATAATCAATTGTTATGACATTAATTAATGCCGTCTGGGACTCAAGCGGTTAAAAAGTAAATGCGTGATAGTAGTTAATAATAACGTATAATAATAAAAAGGTTTTCATACATAAGCATTTTGTGAAACCAGTTTCGAGCCTTGCCCCTAGCGATTTAAAGTATCGATATCTTGTCGACTTCATTTTATCTTTGTTCTCTCACTAGTTTTCAAAGTGTGCGTCACGTCACGCGGCCATTGATTGGCCATAAGGCACGCCTTCTGGCCAATCACAGCACTTTTAAGCCGGTTGCACATGTTGTCGTAGACTCTCAGTCGCTTTGTTTTTACACAGTTGAATGTGTGTGTGGGAGCTGTGGTGGGGGAAATGTGGGGACACTGGTTCTCGTTGTAGTTACGCGCGACTTCATATCTATTCTCTTTCTATGATCTGAGCTGACCACGCTACGTCTTCCGGCCCGCGGTCGCCACTCGAGAACTTTTCTGCCCCAACGTCTGCTCTACGAGCTATGCCCCGCCCCCTGCCACTTGATTTTAGCACTCCACTAGGTGGGCCGACGATCTGGTGAAGGTCGCGGGAAGAGCCTGGATGCGGCCAGCGCAGGACCGGTCGTTATGGAAATCCTTGAGGGAGGCCTTTTTCCAGCAGTGGACGTCATTTGGCTGAAACGAACGAACAAACGAGCTGCAACTTTAAGTAGCTTGTATATGCTATTTATGCTAGCTAAGTAGGTATAGCATTCACAGTAGGAAAAGTTAAAAATATATACTATCCTTATTCCTACCATTGTAGAGTCCTTACACTTCTGGCTAGGATGCGTGCCGTGACATCTTACCCGTAAGCACATATTAGCCGCCAGCCCCACACCGGATGAAATAAGACAAATCGTCGTCCAAAAGAAATCGGTCGTAGCTATACATAGTTATGTGTACAGTCACGGAATGAAAAGGTTCGTCAGTTTTCAAATTGATTCCTTCAACGAATCGCGAGCACATATTACCTTTTGAAACTATGTTACAGAATAATCTCGAGTTAGAGAAAATAATCTTTAACTGTTCGTCAGTAAAGTTCAAAACTATTCAGATCAAAGTTGTTTGACGATTTATCTTGTCAAGAAGATTATTATGATTGATAAACTAAAACCTTCTTGTTGGTTCAACCTGCCATTATTATTCCTATTAAATAAAAAAACTATTGTCAACTGGTCAATATCATCATTGCATTGCACTGATGGGATAGAAAAATAAACAAGCAAAACCTTATTCGTTAGCAAACGTCATATTTATTTAAATGTTAGCAGCACTGTTTCTTGCACTGTTATGTTGGCAGGTTTGACTCTTACAGTACCTAGTGCAAGCGAAAACCGACACTAAGGTGACGAACCTTTTCATTCCGCGACTGTACATAATATTTAATCTTCATTTTCAGTGTAGCAGAAGCTCAGGCTTATTGGCCAGACAGCCTACGCGCGTGCTACGGTCGCCGCACGCAGTACGGCGACTATTTCAACGCGGTGCACGGCAGCGAGAACCACTCGGAGGCGCTGAGAGAGATACACTTCTTCTTTCCTAGCAGTGAGTCCTATATATTTTCGTGGAATTCTTAGAACTTATTATAAAATTACCTAGAAATGGTCAGGTAAGTAATGATCCCAGATCCAAACACCTAATGATGGAAAACAAATTGTACCTTGATGGATTCTCTGACAATTATTCATAAGCTCCTGATTGGGTGATATTAGGATCGCACTTTCAAGCATTTCAAAAATACTCTTCTTTTTTTTTTCAGGTTAATGTTTAACATGTCGTACACATGACGTGTCCTACTGTTAAGATTTAGCTGTGGAAAAAATAATATTTTTTTTTGTTCCAGTGATCGTGGGCCCAATAACCCGTCACTGGCAGGTAAACGACTACATCCAGAAGCACATAACACCTACTTTACTGCCGGCTCTAACGGCACTAGCTCATGAGAAGCCGGCTGAGCCGGTGCTGTGGCTGGCTGAATATCTGCGCCGGCACAACCCTAACGAGCCGGAGTTGGCGCCGCAGCCGCCCGGTCAGCGCGAGGAGAGGCGCTGTCATACGCCGCTGCCGTCCGAGGAGTCATTGCTCAAATGAAGATAATTTGAAATCAATAGAAAGAGAGACAAAGATGTGCATTTAATCACACGCCCTTTCTGCCATAAGAGTCGCATAAAGAAATCTACAGAAAGAAAGATATTAGATCTAATACGAACGAGTGAGCCTGGACGCGTGGTTGGGGTGTACTCGTCTGTCCAAATAGAACATAATGGATTGCCTCGACTAAACGATTTAGTAACCTACTCGACTACATTTTTGGTGTTCAGACACGTTTAGCTACTTAATTAATTTTTTAATTAATTGAAAGAAGAATGTGCATCCAGTCGCACGCCCTTTAGTCATAGAAATCTATGGAACGATAGCTAGATCCAATGCTGTTCTGTGAAGTTGAAGAAGCACATCACGCCGTCTCTAATACCAGCTCTAAAGCCTCGTTTGCATTATAGTCAGGTAATTTAGTAGATTATTCGCCTTTAGTAATTAATTAAACTACTCGCTACTGACCAGAAAACCGTTCGCAGTCTGAAGACTCATTGCTCTACTGAAAATCAACGGAGAAAGCTACGGTAGATCCAACTCTCTTCAGTAACCTTTGGTAAAGCTTGATGTCAATATGGAGAGCTATGTGCATCCAGTCACACGCCCTTTCCACCTGAAGAGTTGAAGAGTAACACACGGAAATCTATGGAAGGATATTAGATCCAATACTGTTCAGTGAAGTTGAAGCACTTTACGTCGCCCCTATTACCAGCAATGACAGCGGGAGAAGAGAGTCGCAGCTCAACTGAAGGCAGCTTGAAAGCATGGAAGCAGCTCAAAATAGATCCAACTCTGTTCCTTATTGTTAGGTAAAGCTTGATATCAAGTTCAGTTGCCATCTGAAGAGTAGCGACTGAGGACTGAGACTGCTCAATTGAGAATAGCTTGAAATCAATAGAGAGCTATAGTAGATCCAACTATCTTCAATAACCTTTGGTAAAGCTTGATGTCAATATAGAGAGCTATGTGCATCCAGTCACACGTTCCTTATTGTTAGGTAAAGCTTGATATCAAGTTCAGTTGCCATCTGAAGAGTAGCGACTGAGGACTGAGACTGCTCAACTAAGGATAGCTTGGAAATCAATACAGAGCTATAGTAGATCCAACTATCTTCCATAACCTTTGGTAAAGCTTGATGTCAATAAAGAGCTATGTGCATCTAGTCACACGCCCTTTCCGCCACAAGAGTCACCCACAGAAATCTATACACCACTAAATTTTAATCACCGAAAAAAAAAAATTCTGGTTAATGAGTTATTGATATTGATCCCATTTGTGCAAAAAAAAGAGTAAAATAAAGTGACTTAAAATATCCTCCTAAAATTGGTAATTTATTGACACACGCGTCGCTAGCACTATTTACGTACGATAATGTAACACTTATTAGAATTCCAAAAGGGTCTAAGTTAGCTAAGTATGTAATAATAACACTGGAAGCGTGATCGAGGCGTGAGCGAGACAGATAGATCGATGCAACGTGCGAGCGCGTACGACTACTCTAGCGAGCAGCGGAGTGACCCAGCTGTGACGCGTAAAATATGGACTAAAGAAAATTTAATAAAAAAAAACAACTTTATGAAAAACATTTATTTTTCTTTTGCTTTTAATTTTTCACACGTTTCTACATAACCTGTTAAAAATTTTTCGGTGATAAAAATTTAGTGGTGTATAAGATTAGATCCAATACTGTTCAGTGAAGTTGAAGCACATTACGTGGACCCTATTACCCAGCAATGACGGTGGGAGGAGAGGCGGTGCCACACGCCCCTGCCGTCTGAGGAATTGCTCCTCAACTGAAGGTAGCTTAATATCAAAAGCGGATAACAGCAGGCAGCTTGATCACTTGATGTCTATTGAATCCAATACTTTTTGGTAATTTTTAATGCAGAGAACCACCATGAACCACGAGAATTGAATACTATCGGTGATCACGAGCTGCTGTCCTAGAGGAATTAACTTCCCGATCCATTTTGATTGCTGGTAAATAAAGAGATTATGGCAATTTGTATATAAATGCTGCAATCTTTTTAACCCTTCATTTGGCAGTGATGCTTTTAAGCAACAGCCACTTTGAATATTTCTACAGCACCAAATAATAAGTTTTGTGCAAATCATTCGATTTTGTTACAAAGTTTAGTTCAGCAAAACACTAGTAAATCGGTCGTCGACTGAGTTTTGAGTGATTTCATATCCATATTTCTGTCAGACGCCAAGATGACGCGCAATGAGAATAACAAAGACGGAAGTTTTCTGATTTTGTACTATTTTATCATCTCTAATTGTTTTTGTTTTGTCTAAATTTAATTCACAATAAATCAAACTAATCATATAAAGCAATATTTGGCGTAGAAACTGTGTTTTCTAATACAATACATGCTTCCGAACCTCGATGTTGCCTAGAAGCAACAGTGCCAAACATCTAACAAAATAGGTTTAGCTTTTTGTTAATACAAAAGAGTGTCAATACACAATAAATCAATCATGTATTACATGAATAATGTTATAGAGATGGTATAGTAATTACTTTTGATGCAATTATGGACCCTGTCGGGCACAGCATTTTAGGAGAGAGGAAGAATTTGCTGTCTGTCTCTGTGATGTTTGTCTTCACACTTATACTGCTGAACTGATTTAAATGATAAACACATTTTTCTTGCGTTGAAGTCAACAACTATAGCAGATAACGGTAACATACCAGTTTCAGAAGCTAAAGAGAAAATAAAAAGCCAACCTTGGCTCGGCATATTGATCGTGAAGTATGATGACATACGTCATCTATCAAATGTTGGAGAAAAAGGTCATTGTCGACTTTGCGAAAATGGCCAAAAAAAAGTTTTAATGCATAAAAATGTGAAATACGATTGTTTTTTTTAAGATTTTCATATAAAAAACTTAATTCTATAATATATCTCAATGTTTTATTTAAGTACCCCTATTTGGCAATGTGGTAAATAAGCAACAATCGTTTTTCTCGAAAATACCAACCAAATATTTTTTTTACTATTTTTCTTAACTTTATTTGATAGTAACAATTAGGTCTAAATAGATTTTATTGAAAAAATCAAACAATTTGTGTCTTGCCAAATGAAGGGTTAAAAATATCGAAAATACGAATGACTATGACCAGCTTCCACTAAAATGCCACTGTCTTTCTAATGCGTAATCATGTAAATTTTTTTTTTTCAAGTAACTGTCTGTTATTTTTTTATTGTAAAATATTTTTTGTGAATAAAATACCTTGTCAAGTTATATTTAAAGATTTTATTTCTTGTTTAGAAATCGATATCTCGCATAGAGTAACGGGGACCACAGAGTACCTTAAAAGTAGTATGAAATGAAACACGAATAATACTTTTCCAAACTTTACTTTTTATATAGAAACAGTTTACAAATGACTTATCACAGGCTAGCGTGAGTTAATTACATTTTGCAATAAAATATTATTAGCTATAATCTGTGGTTATTCACATTATTACGATATGACATTATAATGTATTATGAGCCAACTTTACGTTAAGATGATATTATTTTAACTTGATGAAGCTATTATTGTACGCATAAAACATAAGTACACTTTTGGATTACAAAATTTACACACATTTTACAAAAATAGGGGCTAATTGAATTTTAGTCTCCAATAAATCCACGATTAATAAAAAAATACTTAGCGTAAAATAAGGAAAATACGAAAAAGAAAGTACATGAAAGAAAAAGTCACAATACTTCTCTTGAAACAAACCAAACTTAATTCTACATGGTTTTGGTAAAAAAATCATGACTTACATAATAATATTAAAATGGAGATTACTAATGCGGCTACAATCTTACGAAGATTGTTCGACCTGCTTATCCTGAAACAAAAGATAAAGAGTGTAAAAACTATTGAAATATTGATCATAATTGGACTGGCAACATTATTTTGTCAGACATTTTATGGTTGTCAAAAATATTGATATATACAGGGTGACTAGAAATGAATCAATATACTAGGTTATACTATGAGCCTTAGGCAAAATTGAACCATTTATGACATATTTAGACTTTTATTTTGTATGAAAATATCATTTAGAAACTAAACAGTTTCAGACGACTAAACAGTCGTCTGGGGCACTGCATCTAATTGAGTCAAATAAATGTGCCTTGTTTAGTAATTGAAGTTGTCTCCTTATGATTTTTCCAAAGGGTACTTTTCCAAGTTTCGTTTATTATGATGCAGGAAGTGCCACTGTAGGGAGTCACTTGGACCTTACCTACTCTGTGACATGATTAATCACGTGACATATCAAACAAACTGAATCTGTCCCATTGCAGCATAGACGCGTTAAGAATATTATCATCACGCAAACTTACCCATCAATGGTTGCCCTTATGCATATCGACGACGAAGGCCTCCGAAGCGCTGCAGAGCCCGATCTTTTGGCACACACCCTTGACGCCCATGGTTTCAATCAGGTGGATCACGCTGTCTCCGTATATCTCCATCATGGTGTGGCACTGATGGAATGAAACACTATTAATTGAGTCCACAGTCTATAACCTATAAAAGCAGCACACTTAACAGCCCGTGTTTAGCCCTACACAATCAACAAAATTATTCTTTTACACATTTTTGTTTGCATCAATAATGTTTTTGCTTTTTATGCACGGTGGAAAACACGTACACAAAATTCCGCGGGGGTCGAGGGGCAGGGTACTGTTACGTTATCTGTCATTTTGACAACTCGTTAAATACCTGGAAATTAGTTTTGTTTTGCGTCAAGATTTTTTGTTTGTTTCTCTACAAAGCCAAAAGAAGTAGGCATCGACGACGCTTGCAAAAAAACATGTCTCAGAAACAAAGTTTTGTGTATGTGTTCTCAAAAAACTTTCGCTGGACACCCGGTATGAGTGAAAGGCATTGTTTGGCCACCTGTAAGCAATTTGTTAGTTAGTATTCAACTTACCCTGTCGTAGTACTTGGCGGGCAGCAGGGCGCAGGACTTCTCGACGATGTGCACGATGTTGCGGTCCACTTTATCGTTGTTGAGCACTTTCTTGACGGCCAACACCACCGTCTCGCATACGGCGCAGTCCAGGATCTCTTCTGCTGGGAAACGGACGCTTGTTTAGTTTCAAAGTCTATTATTTATCATCATCAGGTCATTTCCACTGCAGTGCAGGATCTTCCTTTATTATGATCATATCTAATTTGCTACACTTCTTACATTGTTACACACTCACTATTTCACTGATATAAATTATGTATATGATTATCCCGTTTTCCCATTTGCTGGAAAGGTCTCATAGGAACTTTTTGACAGAAAAACTACAACTTCATTCGATTCTATTACTCGAACACGTCTGGACCAATTTGGAAAATAATTATTAATTTACATAAATCAGCTGAGTAGTTTTTTAAAATCATAAAAACCTCAGTCGCAATATTGGTTTTACAACTGAATGATATCTTCGAGAGTTGTAAACCAATTTTGATGTTTTTTCTTATCCATAACGAGGAAGCTCTTGGTCTGCATCTCACCTGATGGAAAGTGATGATCAGACCTTTGTTCGTCTAATAAAAGACCCAAGCCTCGAGGCAATTTCCTACAAATTTTGAAGCGTTATTTCAATTGGTCTTACCTCTGATGCCATCGAGCGCTATGATCTGCGGGTCGCAGAGCTTGAGCTGCTGGCACACCTGGTCGGGTTCGAGCTCCTGGGCCAGCAGGCTGATGACGAGGTCGGCGTATTTCTCCATGAACTGGTCGCACTCGGCGCGCACCGACTTGGGCAAGTGGCGGCATATGCCGTGGAATATGGGCTGTGTGGGTTGCTTTAGTTTTCCTACTTGATCATCATCAGCCTCCACTGCTGGACGACCCTCTGTAACTTACGAGAGGCAAATGGAGGATTCGGTCTACCTACATTTCCCATGCTCGCCCGACGGGTTGGGGAGTCGCCTCTTTTGACATCCACGCGAAGAGTAGGGGTAATCCTATTCTACACTTCAGGAACCACCATACTTCATAAATATAATTTCTACTTAATAATAAACACTTGCTGTTAATCTTACCTTTAATCAAATCCAGTGCTATAATCTGAGGGTCACACAGTTTCAGCTAATGACACACTTGGCCTGACGATCTGGCCTGGAAGATCTGGCGTTCGCATATTTCTCCCTTAGTCACCTCTTGAAGGGCGTTCCTGTTCACCACCAATCTATCTCTTTAATAAGGACTAATTCTTCAGTTGGTCTTACCTCTGATGCCATCCAGTGCTATGATCTGCGGGTCGCACAGCTTGAGCATTAGCTCATGATATTAATCACACTCTTGGCCTGACTGGATTAGGAGTTTTGGCGTTCCTTTAGTCACCTCTTCCTGTCACCCTTAGTTCCTGTTCTACTCTGCAAGAACCACCAATCTATCCATCTCTAATAATTCTGTTAGTCTTACCTCTGATTCCATCCAGTGCTATGATCTGCGGGTCGCAGAGCTTGAGCTGCTGGCACACCTGGTCGGGTTCGAGCTCCTGGGCCAGCAGGCTGATGACGAGGTCGGCGTATTTCTCCACGAACTGGTCGCACTCGGCGCGGACCGACTTGGGCATGTGGCGGCACACGCCGTGGACTATCTTCTTGATTTCATCCTGTTGCAGAATGCATTGATATAGTTGGGTATTTGACACTAAAACCCGGTCTGTGAGCACGTAGAATTTTGTCCAATGACCCCAAGCTACCCATCCTTATCGCGACTGTGCGACGGGCGCCCGCAGTGAGTGTGCGAGCGCGACAGCAACAATTACGCGCGAGCGATAAGGATGGGTAGCTTGGGGTCATTGGACAAAATTCTACGTGCTCATAGACCAGACTATAGTAACCAACAATTCCAAGAGACGACTTTTTTGAAGCAATTTTAGCCCTCGAAAGCGAATTAATTAGTTTCAATTAGCTTTGAAATCAATAAGAGTAGGCGCACACCGTTGATTTTTCATCGGCCGATAGTTTAGTCGGGCAGTTGATAAGTATGGGCATGTATGGGAGTGCGCACACTACGCCGATTCGATTTGGCCGATTCTTCATACAAATTAAAATCGGGCACAACTATCGGCCAACTAAAATATGCATGCGAAAAGACGTATTCGCCGGCGTCGTGACGTATATTTTATCGAAGTTACGTTAAGGCGATTAGAGTCCTCAATGACCTTGAGCGTTTGACCTTCAAGCTTCGCACAACACCCGCGCACCCCGCACGAAAACTCCGATTTGACGCCGATCAAAAATACACGGGCATAGGTAGGTACAGAATAGAAGCTCTTTCTTCATACATTACTGCCTATTATTTTAAACTTGAATTGATGAACCTTGATGTCGATGTCATTCAACCCAGGCGCAAGTGATCGCCCGAAATGTTCTAAACTAGCGCACCGTATAGTAAGGTATTTATATTTAACAAAAATTACAAATCCATGAACATTTTGTATGGGATAATATTTTTTATTTTATTTTATTTAGCTTACAATGTATGTTGTGTGTAAACTATGTTTGTTCGGGTGGAATTTTGCAAGCTGAATTAGTTAGACCCATTTCCTGACGACAACCGATTGAGTTAAAATTTCGGATACACATGCAATTCGGATGACAATGCAATATTATGATGACATGGAGCTGATCTGATGATAGAGCTGGAAAGTCAGTGACCCCATAGGAACTCCGGAATAAAACGACTCCATCGAGTTGAGGCTCGTTTGATTTGTATTTATTTATTTACATTAGGGTTTACATAGTTACGGTAAACTACTTTACAAATCACGAGTACCTACTTCAATTCTATATGTAAACAGGGTCTGATGATGGAGCTGGAATGTGGCCATAAGAATTANTCCGTGTCCATTATGCGGACGTTCTCTTGCTTGGTGTTCACCTGAAGAAGATAGTTTTATTTAGAACACATAAAGCTTAAATACAGATGACATAGTTATAGGCTTGTTTTACGTTATAACATAAGGCTTATAAGCCTTACTGTTGACTACTACCAGCGTTGCCAGTTTTTTTTTTTCGCCAAGTCGGGACTTTGGTACTTTTTGCTTAAAAATAGCGGGATTCTTCAATCAGAAGCGGGACATAGTAAATAAATAAAAAAACGTATACAACGTGTCCCAAAATTCAAGGATAAGCCGGCGCCACAGGATGGACATAGTCATGANAAATTCATTTTGATCGCTAATGTCAGTTTGCAGCGAGTAACACAACCTCCCCGTCTGAAGGCCAGCGGCCGACTGCCGCCCGCACCCCGCGAAGGCCCCCTCAACAGCAAAACGTTCGGAATTTATTAAAAGTAAAATTTATGAATGAAAGTAATGTTCGATTGAAAAACGCAACGTGTCATTTAAAGATTAAAGAATTCTTAGCCTATTCGTGCAAAAATCTTTAAAATTAACATAGCCGTTTGGGAGGAGTAGGGAATTGAAGTAAAAAATCGATGTCCCGTATTTATTTTTTTAATCCACAACAAAGAAATGTAGGAAAAATTCAAACGTGTCAAATGTAGTCCTTGAACTGTTGTATAACATATATTTTTTTCAACTATTTCTGTCCAGCAGTAAAAGAGGAGTAGGCTTTACAAAATGACCATTTCACGCGGATTGAGGACACTAATCGCCTTAATGCGTGGTGAAGTGTTCGTTTGTCGGTGCTATACGGACGACGGCAGCTTATCTCATGTAGTTGTAATTGCTACATTTTTTTAGCCAAATTAAACCTGCAGTGCAGTCTGCTATCAACTTTACTACATCATAAACCTAGATAGCTTGAAGAATTATTTCAATACTCGCGTTGACGGAAAGCAACCTTATTCCTTGGTAATTGGTAATACAGTACAAATCAAATCAAATTTCTTTATTTGCGTAATTCCAGGTAGGGTAAACTGCCTGTCATTGGACACTTAAGAAAGTTATTGGACAGTTATTTACTGAATTAAAAATAGCATTTCTATTTCAATAACTGAGAGATTCCGACTGATGGAGATAAAAGGGCGTTTTTTTAAGGAATATTCATTGTATTTGAAGGAATATTCATTTAAAGAAAATTCAAGGGTTGTTTTGTCCAATGACTGGCAGCGTCCAATGACTGTCGCTTTACCCTACATAAGTGGTCTTACATAGATTTGGTAGGTTTCACTGAAAATTGTAAACTCACCTCGTTGTGTTTATCCTTGATTTGCTCGTCGATTTCCTTCATGACGAACTCGCAGACGACACACACGGTCTTCTGCGACACCTTGTTGATGGGCCGACCGTTCACGGTGTCGTCGGGAATTTCGTTCGTTTCTGTTCGAATGTTACAATAGAATTAATTCAATTCATTTATTTAAATACTCGAAGTGGACGTCTTTCGGCTGAAACGAACGAACGAAATACTCGAAGAAGTGTTATGACCAAAATAAGAGAGAATGGATTGTATTGTCTATTTATGGATTTTAAAACTCCATTCTGAGAGCCACTGAAAGGATGTAAGTCTTGGCGTTTGTTTAATCTGGTGGTTATTCAGTGGCTTTCATAACCACTGGTAGCCATTACTTTGTGTACATGTTCCCAGTTTGGTTAGGACATTACCTAAGGTTTTAAGTAACACATTTTTTTGGAAAAAAATCTGGCCCCATAATTATTATTTTTACTTGTGTATGGTTGCGGTGACCTCAATTATTACAAACACTAGAATAAGAAAAAGCAACGTCATAGTGGGTAAAGTGGTGGCCAAATAGTAACTTTAACTTGTCAATGTATGTATATTTATTACTCTTTCACGCCAAACTACTCAACAGATTTGGCAAAAGCTAATTTTTAAATAATAACTTACCGATATCGCCATTCACGAGCATGTGTGCGGGTAGCATAGACTTCTTCCTGTTGTTCCTGTCGGCATTCAGTTGCGGAATGTCGTGGAATTTGTCGATGCTCGAGTGGGTGATCTTTAGTGGATCGGTTTTAATCGACGTGTCCTTCAGAAGAAATAAATAAACGTGAGTAAAATAGTGAAAGAGAGTATGTAAACTAATAAATTCTGCGGTGGTTTCTGATAATGTTACATATTGCAAAGATTCTGTGATGGTCTTAGGAGTGTAATTTTTTCCATCCACCATTTTTAGCCATCATGCTAGATGCGAATCGCTTGTTTTAAAACTTGTTTTAACTATAGGAGCTTGACGTTTGACTTGACAACATGACGAAAAAAAAGTTGATATTCAGAAGTTTTCTTGCGGTGAGAATACTCGGGGAAAAAATTGCATATACTCGTACAGTGATTAGCTGTGGATGTCATAAAACTAAAGGCGACTGATGCCAAAATCAGGCCTCCTCAACCCGTCTGCCTGGCCAGGGTGGAGTGTAGGCTAAATTCTGACTTTTTCCTCTGCTAAATTGGAGGGCGTCCTACCACAGAATAATAATAAGTACTACGTACAGAAGTTTTACTTCGCGAAGGTATTTAAAAAAATGTATGCTCAATGTCATTAACAATATGGTGTAATTTAGCCTGTCTCAAGAGTCAAGCACCAATTTGTTGACAAACGTCAGTGATCGGCACTGCGCCGAAGCTATAGGACTGACTTCGGTAAAATGATGTGACGTGAGGTGCCAAACTGCGGATAATGGCGCAGGAAACACATGATATAGCATGAATTATCATGAATAATATTAACTACTTATTTACCTCTCAGTGTCTTGAGGCAACTTAAAAAAAGTACATTCTGTTTTTATTATTATTTAGGCAGTTAAATACTGCACAGTATTTAGTACACCATTTTCTTTATTTTCTTCTATCATACACAAGAATACGCGTGCGTGAGTCAATGTTCGCTCGTATGTGAGGCCTTGTCGAATAGTATCCTGTAGGTGGGCCATCGTGCGTGTTTTGTTTTCGATGTAAACTCGCGGAGATGAATAGGCCTGGTCCTACTTCAATGGAGCCTAAACGACTTGATATAAGTGATGACGACAGTGACTAGGAGTAGGAGTAGTCTTACCGTGCACAGCTTAATTCAATACAACATACATCTGTTTCCGCAATTTATTACACCGATCTTGTCGCGACAAGGAAAAATTTCCGTGCTTTTAAGCGATTTTGTGATAAATATTATTTTTGTAATTAAAAATAGTTGATAATTGCTCATAAGATAGGCCCCCTTAATTTAATTTATTGTCCGTGGTGCATAATCTTTTCTTAAAGGTTTTAAACCTTTGTTTGTCACCTGTCATCCGCTTTACAATGGAGGGAAGTCGAACCTTATTTCGAACTCCTGACTCCTCCTATGTTCTTCTGATTAATTTCGTTGCGGGTTCAATGACAGTTAACTTTCCCCCGGGACAAACTTGACCTTCATTGGTTGGGTTTTTGTGGCGGTCAAGCTGTAGATCCTGGCTACACAGGAGTTGCAGTGGTGGGAACGAGAGGTGGGAATAGTATTTTTTTTTACCGTGCACAGCTTAAGGTAGACGCAGACTTCTTGAGCGTCCATATTAGCGACCAGCATTTCCACCAGTTGGTTGGTGTAGGCATCCACGAAGTCCACGCACTCAGTCTGAAGTTTGGTCGACAGGTGGTCGCAAAGGTTGTCTAGAGCGTGGCGGATGTTCTCCTGTGGAATAATAATAATAATTTTATACAATAATAATAATAAATAATAAAAAGCATTTATTTCTTTCTTTCACAATCCAGTAATACAGTGAAACACAAATTGCTATGTACTAATTGAACAGGGTAAGATTGTGAGAGAACTGGAGTCTGAACTAGGCGAGAAGCCTGTACTACAGAGCGCCAGTACTCTCCTCTCTCGATAATGGCCGGAGCACATAGAATTTATTAAAGTTATTTTAAAACTAGACAAAAACTAGACGAGTATTGAAAGAGAGTGTGTATAAGGTGAAGCGTAAGTGATGTGAGAGTGAGTGTAATGAGAGTGTGAGTGTATGTAAGTGTGAGTGTATGTGAGTGAGAATGTAGGTGTATGTGAGTGAGTGTGCGTGTGTGTTAGTAATGAACCATCTGCCCATATTACAGTTACCTAATTGGTTGAAGCAGGTTTTCCGTTTCAGCAATGTGTCAGGGGAAGTAGCAATCAAACTTAAGAGCTTGATGAAAAATACATAAATCATGGGTCATTAGATTAACTAGCTATAAAGGAGAATATACGAGCATCAGGCCTCTTAACCCGTCTGGACAGCGTGGGGAGTGTAGGTATATCTATTCTATTTGTTTTTGGTAAATTAGAGAGTTCTTGCAGGGGAATCTAGATGACCTAAGAATAAGAAATTTATTTATAATATTCATTACATGACAAATTGTGAAATTGTCAATACAGATTATTAATAATAGTCAATTGCAGAATAAATAATGAAGATTCAGTATGTGATGGCACATCGAGATGAACAGTGGGCCTCTTATGTATTTTGCATCTTTTGAAACATTTGTCTGTTTAACTTTAAAGGACCAAAAAGTGTCATTTTCAGTATCTCTCAAATGCAAATGAAGTAGGGTGATTGCTATAGTAATTAGCCTATACATAGTTATTGGTACATTGGATTGTTAATAAGTAAGAGACAAAAATATTTACTACATTGGACTGCGTATTGCTCAGAAAAAATATTTGTCTCTTTTCCTCTCTTAATAACTTCCATTAGGCTTGTTTCTTTTTATTTTAGGCAAGTTGGCCAATAACATGTATTGGCTAATTTATAGCGATCACCCTAGGGTTCTACGAGAACTTCAAAAATAAACAATTTTAAATACTTAGTTTCGAGGAGTTTTGTTTTCTACCAACCTCAGTGCGATTGTTCTTCAGCATGGTCTCGAGTTGTTCGACAGCGAACAGGCACAGCGGGCAGTTGGACTTCTCAAAGTTGATGGACACTTTCCTCACTTCTTGAGTCTGTTCGCACAGGCCCAGCGCTGGGCATACCTGTAAGAACAAAAAGGATAACAAAGAATTACAGCAATTTTCACGGAAATAGGAGACCATTTTTTTCGCTAGAAAAGCAAAATAATAAAATAATCATTACGTCTTTTTGATACCTATAATCTAAAATGTGTATAAGCTGATAAAAAAATTAGGACCCCTCAGTCGCCAGACTTGTTTAAAGTAACAGTTGAAATCTGTCAGTCGTAGTTAGTTTTATTTATTGTGTTAAGTGTGTATTCTAGTTCAATACAAATTTTATTGTAATTAATACAATTCGTAATTTATTGCGAAAGCAACTGGTTTTGATATAATGTGATCGCCGGCTAAGGTACAATAACCCCAACTATTTATGACGTTATTGCACACAATATCGGTGTACAAAAAGCGAATCCGATGTCATATGAAATCCCTTTCAGTCATACTTTGGGCCTTCTAGTCATGCATTTATTAGATAGTGCAGGAACTAAATGTAAACCAAATGTAACACTCACACTGGCCGGGTCAATCTCTTGCACCAGCAGAGCGATGACGGCGGGTCCGTAGTTGGTGACGAAGGTGCGGCATTCCCCATCGATGGACTTTGGCAAGCGGTCGCACGCCTTGTTCACTGCTTCCTTGATCTCATCCTATAAAATAAAAGAAATAGTTTTTAGAAGTGTTCGTTAGGGTCATTGTTCGTTTATGCTAAGTCGTGTCATTTTGAATTTACAAGGGCTGCACTAAAAGTATCGGGAATGGAATATTTCCACTGTTCCAGTCATATTAAAATCTATTTAATTGCAAACTCCAGGGTTTTAAAAATCGTATACCATTTATTTATTTTAAAAAAGATTCTCGGTCGTATCACAAGGTCTAGTCAAACTTGTTTAGTCGTTGAGAAAATGGAATTGACTCGAGAAAATTCAAGAGCGATGATTTATTATGACTTTCGGAGTGGTTTAACACAAAAACAGTGTGTTGACCGGATGATTTCTGCATTTGGTAATGAAGCCCCATCCAAAACCACAATTTATCGCTGGTTTCCTGAATTTCAACGTGGACGTGTCAAGCTCAGTGATGATCCCCGTCAAGGTCGTCCAAAAACTGCAGTCACCTAAGAAAACGTTGATGCTGTGCGTAAGCTGATTGAAGAAGATCGACATGTGATATACCGCGAAATTCAGGCAACTTTAGACATTGGCATGAGCCAAATACAAATAATCTTGCATGAACAACTAGGTGTAAAAAAGTTGTTTTCCCGATGGATACCGCATTCGCTCTGCGAAGAGCAAAAAGCGGCTCGCGTTACTTGGTGCGTCAGAACTCTCGGGAGATTACATGCAGGATCCTCAAATGCTGTATACAACATCGTATCAGGTGACGAATCATGGATATACGCGTACGAACCCGAAACAAAAAACCAGTCACGAGTTTGGGTGTTCGAAAATGAATTAAAGCCAACAAAAATTGTTCGTTCACGGAGTGTTGCAAAAAAAATGGTGGCCACGTTTGTCTCCAAAACCGGCCATGTTGCGACTATTCCTCTTGGGGGACAAAGAACGGTTAATGCAGATTAGTATGCTAGCATTTGTTTGCCACAGGTCGTTTCTGAACTCCGTAAAGAGAACTGCAACCGCCGCATCATCCTCCATCACGACAATGCGAGTTCTCACACCGCGCACTGAACAAAAGAGTTTTTAGAGCAAGAAAACATAGAATTATTAGTCCATCCGCCGTACAGCCCTGACCTAAGCCCTAATGATTTCTATACTTTCCCTAAAATAAAGAATAAATTGCGTGGTCAGAGATTTTCATCACCTGAAGAAGCTGTGGAAGCCTACAAAACGGCCATTTTGGAGACCCAAACTTCCGAATGCAATGGTTGCTTCAATGATTGGTTTCGTGTATGGAAAAATGTGTCAAATTTCGCGGAGAATACTTTAAAAAGCAATAAATACATTTTTAAATAGTAATGTTGTTTCACTTCCTTGATTCCCGAAATTTTCAGTGCCGCCCTCGTAGAAAGGTATTTTTCATCACTGTTTGTTCTTAGGCCAATAATATATGGACGAAGACCAATATCCTTTCTTTACCAATTGATACAACTACTACTGTTCCAGTTGCGTTATCGAATATTATTATTTTTAGTACGTTTCGTTTACGTTCTATTGACACCACAAGATACAAGTTTTGGAAGTGGACGAGTTGTTTGTAAACATCTATTTCATTACTGGCAAGGTTTTGGAATGGAGGCCACGTACCAGGAAACGCAGCGTGGGACGTCCAAGGTGGACCGACGACCTCATAAAGGCAGTAAGGCGCTGTATACAGGCCGCCACCACTCAAGCAATATGGAAATAATTGGGCGAGGCCTATGTTCAGCAGTGGACGTCCTGTGGCTGAAATGATGATATCTCACCTCAGTCCTAGAGTCGCTGAGCTCCACCTGCAGATAGTGCAGGAAGTACTGGCAGAAGGAGCAGCCGGCCTTGCTCTGAGGCATCCTCACGAACATGCGGTCCAGTGTCAGCGGCGGCAGGTCTTCCGTGTCCATTATGCGGACGTTCTCTTGCTTGGTGTTCACCTGAAGAAGATAATTTTTTTTAGAAAACATAAAGCTTAAATTTTAATACAGATAGCATATAAAAAGTTGGGTTTCAATAAGTCTTCAAGTTTTAATACTATCGACAGAATGTATTATAACTTTATTAACTAGTCACTGACAAAAGTTTCGCTTGCTTACGGATGTCTTTATTGCTTATTTTTTTCTAACAATTTATGCTCTAATTTCACATGTGCCACGGATACCACCCTTTCATGGATATGTACTGTTAATTATGAAAAATCTAAAACGTTAAAATAACGGTATCGTTGTGGCCAATGAGATGCTGTCATAGTGACATTGACGTATTGTCAATGTCACACGAGAATCAAACGTCAGAATAGAGGGACGCGCGGAGACGACTCCGCGCGCTTTTGTGCTAAGTGATGAATTGTATTTAAAATAAGGCAATATAATGTGAAAGTTGAGTATCCAGTGTTTTATTTATGAGAATAGATCTACCGGCCTCTAATAGTACCTTAAATCAAACCCTTTTGTGATACACAGGTAAAGTAGTAGTTGTTGTTTGTAGTCTTACTTCTCTTGTTACCGACTTGAATTTGATTTATTTAACAACATATTCTGTATCTGCTATGCGTTCAGAGACTACAATTTTATGACAATGGTAAATAATATAATATTATACCATAAGGGCTACCTTTTCTTTTTTATTTTTTACTACATTTTGACGTTCATAAGTGCCACTTGTGGTCTAAACTGAATGAATATTTTTGATTTTGATTTTGAAAATAATTGCAAAGAACTATATTAGTATCAACGTACCTTGTAGCTGTTAGCTTCGTCAGTACCGATGAGTTTGGGCGACGTCGCAACCGATTTGATGACCAGTTCCTTAGGCAACAAGGGCGCGATTGGCGTGTCAAGTTTCTTGCCGCACATGCCCATGAGTTGGCAGACCTTGGCGGGCTGAAGGTCGGAGACCAGGTAGTGGTAGACCATCGGGTAGTATTGCTCGGCGAGGTGAAGGCATTCCGTCTTGAAGTTACCGGTTTGNGAAGTATTTGATAAATTGTGGTCGTGGTAATGTAAAATATCATAAGGGGTGTCAATTTTCGATGAATTCCATAATTTATTGTGTAACTTAAAAAATAATTGAGATAGATTTTTTTTCTTATTTTTCCTGAAGTAGTCATGACTATGTCCATCCTGCGGCGCCGGCTTATCCTTGAATTTTGGGACACGTTGTATAATCAAAGGTTTTAAAATATGTATCTTTTTATTTGACTTAAAATTACGTTTATATACGTGACAATAGATAGCAAAAGTAGCCATAGAAAATGTATTTTAACAAAAAAATAATATTTTAAATCAGATTTACTCTATCGTTAAATTCGTCTTTAGAATAAAAAAAGAAAAAAAATAAAAAAGTTTTATTCTTTAGAATAATATGGCGTTTCAAGCAATAGTCTGGTGAAGTAAGTGTCTCTCTCCGAAAAGCGGGACCGAGCCTGTCCCGCGCGGGACATTTAAATTTGATTTAAAAATCGGGACGTCCCGCCAAAATCGGGACGTCTGGCAACGCTGACTACTACTAAAGCCTGGTCCGTGAGCACGTAGAATCCCGTCCAATGACCTCAAGCTGCCCATCCTTGTCGCGACTGTGCGACGCGCGCCCGCAGTGAGTGTGCGAGCGCGACAGCAACATAATTACGTGCGAGCGATAAGGATGGGTAGCTTGGGGTCATTGGACGGGATTCTACGTGCTCACGGACCAGGCTTTACTTTAAAATTTATGTTAAATAGACAAAACTGATCATAAGATTATTATTTAATACTGACAAAAGTTTCGCTCGCTACTGTCACTGAAAGTTTTTATACTATACTAGCCTTCAGCCCGTGGCTTTGCCAGCGTGAAAAAATGGCTGTTTTTAGGGTTTTCCCGAAATTTTTTCGAATTTTTCTCGCCGTAAAAACCGTCCTTGGACTTAAAAAAAAAAGAATCGGTAAAATTGGTCCAGTCCAGGCGTTGTTGAGTTATGCGCTTACCAACACATTTTGCGATTCATTTTTATATTATAGAAGATTTTGAATTAGCGTTACGTTACGTGACCGTCTAAAGTTGCAACTGTATCGATGCTGAAACAAAACTGCAAAATAAATAAATTAGCATCAACGCACCTTGTAGCTGTTAGCTTCGTCAGTACCGATGAGTTTGGGCGACGTCGCAACCGATTTGATGACCAGTTCCTTAGGCAACAAGGGCGCGATTGGCGTGTCAAGTTTCTTGCCGCACATGCCCATGAGTTGGCAGACCTTGTTGGGCTGAAGGTCGGAGACCAGGTAGTGGTAGACAATCGGGTAGTATTGCTCGGCGAGGTGAAGGCATTCCGTCTTGAAGTTGCCGGTTTGTTTGCAGAGACCTGATTGACAAACAAGACATCTAACTTAACTTTCAGTGGTTAGCTTTCTATGGAGGAAAAGCTGTAGATTCTGGCTATACAGGAGTTGCAGTGGTGGGAAAGTATGGTGGGATTAGTCCCATTTACTCAGACATCGGTAAATCTGAACATATTCAGATATATTTATAAACTTTTATGGTGGAGGTGGTAGAGTAAATATTAATCTCAGAATAGATCAGTCAGTTATTCGACATTTTGACATATTTTCCATACTGAACTGTCAATGTACCAGTTACACCAGGAGTTATTCTGGGATAAAAGTTTGGTCAAATCGGGCCTTAGAATACTACTTTATTACTAGGTTTCTGTTGTAGGATTTCAATAGCAACTGGTGGTTTATAAGATAAAATAAAAACTCGATTTCGGTTATCATTAATTTTAAGCAACTGGTAAGAAATATGTTTGATTGCATAAACCTTTTTATAAGATACTTATTTTATATGTTATAAAAGTTGCATTAAATGATGTACGTAAGTTACTTAGGCTTATATGAATAAAACTATGTATGTAAGTTACTTAGTTAGGCCTTACCTTTAAGCACCTTGTAGAATTCAAGTTCAGTGGTGTTGGCAACCAGTGTGTCGCGCATGTGCTTCACAAGTTGCTCGCAGAACTCGCAGGGGACATCACTGGAACAAACATTTCACTACGTTAGCACGCTGTGTGCACACGCCCTAGATTAAATTTAAGCATTATGTACTATTTTGTTTTCTGATTGACACTATATGCCTTTTGATAAATAAATAAACGATGATCATGAATGATTAAACATAGGTTTTTTAAAATGATGTCAAGTTTAATTCAACAACACAAGTATCTTCAAAGCTTCTGGAATTTTCTCGTACTATTATAACTTCTAGAATGTTCTAGCTGAATTTATAGCACAGAATAATAATAAGTACTACGCACAGATGGTTTTCTTCGCGAAGGTATTAAAAAAAATTATGCTCAATGCCGTTAACAATATAATGTAATTTAGCTTGTCTCAAGAGTCGAGCACCATTTTGTTGACAAACGTCAGTGATCTGTACTGCGCCAAAGCCATAGGGCTGACTTCGGTAAAATGATGTGTGAGGTGAGGTACCAAACTGCGGAAAATGGCTTAGGAAAAACATGAATAAGCATTAATTATAGTTTATTGTCTTTACAATGCAAATGGGTGAAGAATACACGTGCGTGCGTCAATACTCGCTCGTGATTGTCCTGTCGATTAGGTATCTCAGGAGTAGTCGCGCGTGTTTTGTTTTCGATGCAAACTCGCGGAGATGAACAGGCCTGATTATAGCAAGAACTGACCGCTCACGTGGCACACGCCCTGTGACGTCAGATTCTTCTTGAGAGTTCTAGAATGTTCTCGTAGCATTACGGCTTCTAGAATGACCTAGAATTAATGCAAACAACTCACTCAGTAGGCTGAGGCTCGAACTCCGGGAAGGTGAACTGGTCGTGCGTGTGGAACCGGTAAGTGACTGTCCGCTCATGTGGCACACGCTCTGTGACGTCAGATTCTTCTTGAGAGTTCTAGAATGTTCTCGTAGCATTACGGCTTGTAGAATGACCTAGAATTATTGCAAACAACTCACTCAGTAGGCTGAGGCTCGAACTCCGGGAAGGTGAACTGGTCGTGTGTGTGGAACCTGTAAGTGCACTGTCCGCTGACATGGCACACGCTCTCAGGGGTCAAGTCCTTCTTCACGGCTTCTAGAATGTTCTCGTAGTATTGGAATATCAGCATGGAACACGAGTCCGAGAGAGAATCCATGTTGCGGCACACCTGGATGATACAATTATTATTTAATCGCCTCAAGTGGTAAAGACACCTGTTTTTAAGACAGGCCCGAGATGTAAAGGCAACTAACTGATCCCCGTCTGGCCATTGTGGGAGTATGAAGCTCAAATCATCCATTTACCCCTGGTAAATTAGAGAGAATCGTGTTCCTGCAGTACAGGCTGAATGATGATGTATTTTTATGATTTTTTTCCTTTTAGGCCCAGAACAGACGGTGAAACGCAACTGCAACGAAACNGAATCGGACGTTAGAATACTTCTTTATTTCTAGGTTTCTGTTGTAGGATTTCAATAGCAACTAGTGGTTTATAAGATAAAGTAAAAACTCGATTTCGGTTATCATGAATTTTAAGCAACTGGTAAGAAATATGATTGATTGCATAAACCTTTTTATAAGATACTTATTTTATCTACTATATAAAAATAAGTCGGGTTTTCCTCCCTGACGCTATAACTCCAGAACGCACGAACCGATTTCCACGGTTTTGCATTCGCTGGAAAGGTCTCGGGCTCCGTGAGGTTTATAGCAAAGAAAATTCGGGAAAAGGGGGTAAAACGGGATCCACGCGTACGAAGTCGCGGGCGGCCGCTAGTATGTTATAAAGTTGCATTAAATTATGTATGTAACTTACTTATTTAAGCCTTACCTTTAAGCACCTTGTAGAATTCAAGTTCAGTGGTGTTTGCAACCAGTGTGTCGCGCATGTGCTTCACAAGTTGCTCGCAGAACTCGCAGGGGACATCACTAGAACAAACATTTCACTACGTTAGCACGCTGTGTGCACACGCCCTAGATTAGATTTAAGCATTAACATGTTTATTGTACTATTTTATCTTCTGATTGACACTACATGCCTTTTGATAAATAAATAAACGATGATCATGAATGATGAAACATAGGTTTTTAAAATGGTGTCAAGTTGAATTCAATTACACAAACATCTTCAAAGATTTTGGAATTTTCTTGTAGTATTATAACTTCTAGAATGATCGAGAATCTAGCTAGCGTGGCACACGCTTTGAGGGATCAGATTCTTCTTTACAAGTTCTAGAATGTTCTAGCTGAATTTATAGCACAGAATAATAATAAGTACTACGTACAGATTGTTTTCTTCGCGAAGGTAATAAAAAAAAATTATGCTCAATGCCGTTAACAATATGATGTAATTTAGCTTGTCTCAAGAGTCGAGCACCATTTTGTTGACAAACGTCAGTGATCTGTACTGCGCCGAAGCCATAGGGCTGACTTCGGTAAAATGATGTGACGTGAAGTGCCAAACTGCGGAAAATGGCGGAGGAAATACATGAATAAGCATGAATTATATTTTGTATTTCTATTATTATTCAGGCAGTTAAAATACTGCACAGTATTAATTACACCACCGTTTTTACATATAGTTTATTGTCTTTACAATGCAAATGGGTGAAGAATACACGTGCGTGCGTCAATACTCGCTCGTGATTGTCCTGTCGATTAGGTATCTCAGGAGGGGTAGTCGCGTGTGTTTTGTTTTCGATGCAAACTCGCGGAGATGAACAGGCCTGATTATAGCAAGAACTTACTCGGCAGGCACGAACTCCGGGAAGGAGAATTATTAGTCGTGCGTGTGGAACCGGTAAGTGACTGTCCGCTCACGTGGCACACGCCCTGTGACGTCAGATTCTTCTTGAGAGTTCTAGAATGTTCTCATAGCATTACGGCTTCTAGAATGACCTAGAATTATTGCAAACAACTCACTCAGTAGGCTGAGGCTCGAACTCCGGGAAGGTGAACTGGTCGTGTGTGTGGAACCGGTAAGTGCTGTCCGCTCACGTGGCACACTCTCTGTGACGTCAGATTCTTCTTGAGAGTTCTAGAATGTTCTCGTAGCATTACGGCTTCTAGAATGACCTAGAATTATTGCAAACAACTCACCCAGTAGGCTGAGGCTCGAACTCCGGGAAGGTGAACTGGTCGTGCGTGTGGAACCGGTAAGTGCACTGTCCGCTCACGTGGCACACGCTCTCAGGGGTCAAGTCCTTCTTCACGGCTTCTAGAATGTTCTCGTAGTATTGGAAGATCAGCATGGAACACGAGTCTGAGAGAGAATCCATGTTGCGGCACACCTGGATGATACAATATAAATTATTATTTAAGCCACCTGTTTTTACGACAGGCCCGAGATGTAAAAGACAACTAACTGGCCTGAACCCGTCTGGCCAGGGTGGTAGTATGAAGCTCAAATCACCCATTTACCCCTGGTAAATTAGAGAGAATCGTGTTCCATTCCTGCAGTGCAGGCTGAATGATGATGTATTTTTAAGATTTTTTTCCTTTTAGGCCCAGAACAGACGATGAAACGCAACTGTAACGAAACTGCAACTGCTAGTTACTTTTGAATTGCATCTAAGTTTCTGCCATAGCGTCCGTTGAGAGACCACACATGACGCGACCAGTTTGAAACTTTCAGTTACAGTTTCATTCAGAATCATCAGAAAGTTGCAGTTTCGTTGCAGTTGCGTTTCACCGTCTGTTCTGGGCCTTACTCGAAGTGAGAAGCTTCGTAAAACTTATATATTGTAAATTATTAACAACAGTTGATCTACAGAATGTTTCTTCTTACCTGAAGCAAGCTAAGGAGGAAATCTTCGTAGGAGGTCGCTTCGAACCGTCTCCTCGCTACAGCGACCGTCTGCCGGCAGTTGTTGCAGTTTACGACTTTGGTCAGCTGAGTGTTCTATAAAACAAAATATTTTTCTGTTGTGTTTAATAAAATCAGATCACATAATAGGCGAAAAATTAACTCTTCATATATTAACCCCCTTACTAATAAAACTTACACGCTCGTTGAACAGTGTTTTAAAGTGACGTTTAGTATGGAAATGTCACTTTAAAACAGTGTTCAATAACTGTGCATATTTTTATTAGTAAGGGGATTAATGTTTAGTTATTTAACATATGATATGAATTATGATACAGCCAACGAGAAAAATGATAGTAAAATTATGACAAAAGTTACTGACTGATTTTCATGCGCTGCTTCTTTTTAAAAATGTTTTCACGTCATTGTACCAAACCGTGGTAGGATTAAAGTAATACTAGCACATGTAACAGCGCTTTTAAAATCTTAATTACAAGCTAGCTACCACCATAGTACCCGTCTTTCGCCATAACAACAATATTAACAGCATTGTTTTGTGTTCCAACAGTTAGAGATAAGATAGCCAGTTCCTCTTTGGTTGAGGATTCCGGGTTTCTCGTTGTGGATAAGAAATAATTTATGTGTCAATCACACTAACGCGTGCAGATCGCCATCGCCGGCGCGATCATAGGCCAATGACAGGTCGCGTGATCTGTCATGGGTCACGTTGGTGTGGTTGAAGCTTTAAAATAAACTAGCTTTTGCTCGCGGCTTCTCCCGCGTGAAATTTAGTTTGTCACATATCGTCATAAATTATAGCCTTGTTATTCTGTGTTATAAACAATAATACTGTAAAGTTTTATCAAAATCCGTTCTGTAGTTTTTGCGTGAAAGAGTAACAAACAACCAAACTTTCGCATTTATAATACAACGTGTTCTAGATTTAGAAGATACCTAGTTGATTTAGATTATAGTATCATCAATTTAGTTTTTTTTTTTCAAAATTGTCACCTAGTCTTTTTGTGCAGACTTTTTATTGATAAGTGTATGTAAATAATGAATTATTTCAGTGAAAAATTAAGTTTTTAAATAATTTCGTATGAAAAAAAAAGTCGAAAAAAATTGTGGAATTTAACAAACAATTTAATGCCATTCCATTCTTTGAAGTGGTCTTATTAATACCCTAGAGTTCCAGGAAATCAAAAAGAGCACGTTGTATTAGTAGGAAGTAGGACCAGGCCTGTTCATCTCCGCGAGTTTACATTGAAAACAAAACACGCACGATGGCCCACCTACAGGATACTATTCGACAAGGCCTCACATATGAGCGAACATTGACTCACGCACGCGTATTCTTGTATATGATGGAAGAAAATAAAGAAAATGGTGTACTAAATACTGTGCAGTATTTAACTGCCTATATAATAATAAACACAGAATGTACTTTTTTAAGTTGCCTCAAGACATTGAGAGGTAAATAAGTAGTTAACATTATTCATGATAATTCATGCTAAATCATGTATTTTCTCCGCCATTTTCCGCAGTTTGGCACCTCACGTCACATCATTTTACCGAAGTCAGCCCTATAGCTTCGGCGCAGTGTCGATCACTGACGTTTGTCAACAAAATGGTGCTCGACTCTTGAGACAGGCTAAATTACACCATATTGTTACATTGAGCATACATTTTTTTAAATACCTTCGCGAAGTAAAACTTCTGTACGTGGTACTTATTATTATTCTGTGGTAGGACTCACATAAGCTTCCAGGAGTTGATCGATCCTAGCGCTGTTACATAGCCCAGCGACCGAGCACACGGCTTGCGGGTTCATCTGCGAAGCGAGGGTCTCCACTAGTTCAGGCACAAAGTCATCTGCCATCTTCATGCATTCCTTGGCCACGATCTTGATGGGGATCAGCTTGCAGGAGCCTTCGAAGACCTCCTTGAGTTCCTCCTGTAACAAAAGAAAAATTGAGAATTATTTAATAACTTTTAATAAAGGTGCTAATGATCTACATAAAAATGAATCGCCGAAATGTAACGAAACGAAACCACTTCACCAAATTGGATAATTCTTTTTTTTCTGGGCGTTATTTTCAGAAAAAGGTTGTATAAAAGATAATTGAATAAAAATCTAACAGTATAGATAAAATAAAATTATGGCGGTACGAAGTTCGCCTAGTCAGCTACTGTTTTATGGAGAAATGGACTGGCTATCTCTTGAAGATAATCTGACCATTCCATCTGTGCTCAGATGATACTTGGCTATACTCGAAAGTGCTTCGGGTGACATAGAAAATGCTCTACAAAGCTAAAGAAATCGTCTGTTTTCAACGATAAATATTGCACAGACACGTAGTAAATTAGCTTAGTTTCGGACTAGATAACGCACTGAAAAATTGTGTCATAGATAACTACAAAGCTCAACAAATTCTCTTTTCAACGATAATATTGCACATAGACAAAGTTTAGCTTATATGGGACTAAAGCCTGGTCCGTGAGCACGTAGAATTTTGTCCAATGACCCCAAGCTACCCATCCTTATCGCTCGCGCGTAATTATGTTGCTGTCGCGACTGTGCGACGGGCGCCCGCAGAGAGTGTGCGAGCGCGACAGCAATATAATTACGCGCGAGCGATAAGGATGGGTAGCTTGGGGTCATTGGACAAAATTCTACGTGCTCACGGACCAGGCTTTAGATGGCACAGAGCTAAATTGTCAATTTACCTGAGTCTCGTTGCTTTCGAGCTGGTCGCGTGCTTGCGTCACCATGTCGGTACAAATCTTGCAGATGTTGTCGTTGTCTTGAGGATACTTGGTGGTGGACCACACGGTGCCCGCGCAGAACTTGGTAGCGCTGCATTCGCGACCCGTTCTGTACGAATACGAAATCTACTATATAAAAATAAGTCGGGTTTTCCTCCCTGACGCTATAACTCCAGAACGCACGAACCGATTTCCACGGTTTTGCATTCGTTGGAAAGGTCTCGGGCTCCGTGAAGTTTATAGCAAAGAAAGGAAAAGGGGAGCACCTTTTTATACAAAAGGTGTGTTGTACAAATAAAATTACACCGTAAAATTGTAAATACCGTTAGATTTAGGTCTATTCCACTTTGGTTTTGGTCTTTTCTACACATCACCTGGCTTTGATCACCCAGTTGATCAAAGTGGACTCCAAGCAACAATTTGGTGTCCTTTGATCACCCATGGATAAGATAACCTGGGTAATCAAAGTGGACTCCAGTTAAATTATTATTTTAGTTTCCTTTGATCACCTCTAAGTAAATTAAACCTCCTCAAAATCCTCAAATGTCCAATTACTTACAAGTTTTGTAACATTTTTGATATTTTCTAAAAAGCGCAACAAACAAATTGGATATAAAATATATGTGACTATTATAATATGTATTATAATCTATCTAGAGACATTGTAGAAAGATTGACAACTATCTAAAGACTCCCTGATTGGTTAGTCTTGCGGTAAGTCGTTGTGTGTCCATAGAGTTACAATTCAAACACAGGTCAGTCAAATAAAAATGGTACATTTCAAAAATTGTAGCATCAAGTTCAAGTAACTGACTGTATAAATATGGGTAGTTTATGGCTGAAAATGTGCATAAGCATAAAACGTCTTCGTTGTCAAACCATCTGTGTAAATGTTTTCAAATAGAACGTTGGTTTTTATACACCATTTCAGTCAGCATGACGTAGTTCATATTTATTTTATACTATTGAAATAAAATAAAATAATTACGCGAAATTGCTGCACCAATACGCTGGGCCCTGTGTGCATTTGATGCCTCCAAGCAGTTTGGTTTGCTTCTTTGGTGCTACTTCTTTTGCCTGTAAACAAATAGTTTAGTTAGTAAAGAGCAGAAAATGATTTTACGGTCATCAGAAACTCATTATTACTGCAAATTAATACGTATTATAACTACATACGATGCCAGACTGTTTATCTTAACAAAATGTGAAAAAATATCAACTCAACATAATAATAATATCATGAAAGAGTCGCATGAGACATAACAATAGCTAATATTGTCAGATAACATCACAACAACCATAGCTTCTTATTGTAGTTGTGATACGTGGAATTTTCCAATAAAAAAATTCTTACGACTTTACTTGCAGGATTCATTACCTACATACGAACAAATATGCAAATAATTATACTTGGCTTATTAACTCGCAAGATGTGTGAGAAAATTGCGTGTTTTTCAAACGTCAAAAATCTGTCAAACTCCATACCAAAAACACCGGTTATAGTTATAGTCACGGTGCAACTCAACCTTAATCTGTAGGCGTGATTTTTAATTTAAAAAATCTATTAATAATTACATATTTAATTGTTCTAGAACAATTTTCTGAGCAGATGACCCAGTGGGGTGAGACCGGGTCGTTAACAGTGACCGTGTTGACACCTCCATATCAGTGCCTACTTCACAATTAATAACGAAAAGTCGGATAAGATAAATTCGCGTTTGTTTTCAACTGTGTATGTGAGAGACGACATGTTTTCGGCAAATATTCGACCTATTAACTCGCAAGATGTGTGAAAAATTTGCATGTATTTTTCTAACTAGAAATCTGTTTAAAAATAATAATACAGACTGTTCTGTTGTATGACGCAATCTTATGTAATAACATAAGTACAGCATTTTAAATATGGTGTTACATGTTCCTTGTACATAAGACGACTATAGGTAAACAAATAAAATGAGGAAGTATCCTTTGTTTGTATGAATAATTATTCGACTCGACAGGATAATTTGCGGTAAAATGTCATCTGTATGTTTTAGAAATAAAGAAAATTAATCACTAAACGATATTTAAATAACGATTTACCAACTAAAGACAAAATTACAGAAATGTGTCCGTTAACTCTGAAATAATATTCATATTTAGCATTGAAATGTTGCTCAAAATGTATTAAACGGGATTACGATCTTAAATTAAACACTGCTATCATCGTCATTTGAGCCAATTGCAGTCTACTGCTGAACGTAAGCGTACACTCAACGGACGCCATAAAAATAATATCTAACTTTTTCCATCTTCGGTCCATTGAGCCGATAGGTTTCTTATGCTACATTTACCGAGACGGGGATCGCCACAGGACTATTCCCACCTCTCATTCCCACCGTTGCAATTCTATCACTATTGGATTGAATATTGTAGTTGAAGCAATTCATGAAGGCGAGTGCTTTACATGTGTGGTGGCTCGCTACTGTTCGTTTTGACAGACGTATGTGCATGTACACGTACACACACAAGCAGAGGTCACTCGCCTTCGTCAGTTTTAAGAACTATACTCATAATACTGTTTTCACGATAGCCGAACGGTGAAGGGGTCGGAGTGGCCGACTAGAGAACCGATGGACGCGGGTTCGAATCCCACCGCCGCTCGACTATTGTGGTGAGCCCACTCGTAACACAAGCTTCTTTAGCTTACCACGAGGGGCTAACGGGACTATTAGTAATTTGTGCAATACAAATTGCTAATAATCTTAAAAAAAAAAACTACAATATTCATAAAGATACGTACTTGCTCCTCCAACAGCTTGTCAATCCTAGCGCTGTTACACAGTCCAGCGACCGAGCACACGGCCTGAGGGTTAATTTCCGATAAGGTTCGACTTCCCTCCATTGCAAAGCGGATGACAGGTGACAAACAAAGGTTTAGTCACTACTTGAGTACCCTACAATATTGATAAAGATACGTACTTGCTCCTCCAACAGCTTGTCAATCCTAGCGCTGTTGCACAGTCCAGCGTCCGAGCACACGGCTTGAGGGTTCATTTCCGATAAGGTTCGACTTCCCTCCATTGCAAAGCGGATGAATGGTGACAAACAAAGGTTTAGTCACTACTTGAGTACCCTACAATATTGATAAAGATACGTACTTGCTCATCCAACAGCTTGTCAATCCTAGCGCTGTTGCACAGTCCAGCGACCGAGCACACGGCCTGAGGGTTCATTTCCGATAAGGTTCGACTTCCCTCCATTGCAAAGCGGATGACAGGTGACAAACAAAAGTTTAGTCACTACTTGAGTACCCTACAATATTGATAAAGAAAAGATACGTACTTGCTCCTCCAACAGCTTGTCAATCCTAGCGCTGTTGCACAGTCCAGCAACCGAGCAGACAGCTTGAGGGTTCATTTCCGAAGCGAGGGTCTCCACCAGTTCGGGCACAAAGTCGTCGGCCAGCTTCATGCATTCCTTGGCTACGATCTTGATCGGCATCAGCTTGCAGGAGCCTTCGAATACATCCTTCAGGTCGTTCTGGAATGGAAAAAGTTACGGCTTTGGTTATGGAACGATTTCGTGTCAGATCTCCAGGTCGTTCTGGAATGGAAAAAGTTAGGGTTTTGGTTGTAGGATGATTGACTGTCAAATACTTAGATGAAGTCCTTAGTGAACTACTATAAAATCGATGATTTTTTTAAATATAAAAATGTTTGGGATGCGTAACTGCCTAGCTCGCATAAATATTTATAACTTTGTATATTTTAAAGCCTGTAAACCTTTGAAAAAGAGTCTGACATTAGTGACTGAGTTTCTTGCGCTGCTTCTTCTCAGCACTGGCCCATTTATTGCCCTGAAGCAGTGGTAGGGTTAATACTGGGACGTGTAAAAGTGCTTTTTTAAGCCTATTTACAGAAATAAATGAGTTTTATGAGTTTTTATGAAGGCATCGGAATAAATCGTCAAAGTTAATGAAAGTATGTAATATGAGATAAAAAATATTCGTTAAGCATGTGATAACCACCATCATTAACCATGCACAATCAATAAGTCTGTGCCTTATCTGGCTGCAAGACTCAAGAACAATACTATACTGTTAGGTATAGTGTTCTTTTTAATGCTTATTTTATTTCTATTTCAATATTTCATCACCTAATGTAAATCTGGGATATTCACGTTATGTCTACTAATTTAGTTATGTAGATCCTGAGATATACGCCATATGCTGGATACAGTTCCAAATAAATGAAAGGTCCTAGACCTATCATACAGAGAACAAGTTCGAACGAAGTTTCAAACATAATCAACACAAAACAAATCTAAATGGTGTCATAATTAGGTCTGACGGTCTAATAACCCTTAAAAAAATTAGTCAGTCGCAATTTAAATTGTTTTATATCAAATTGTATGATCACAATAACATTTAATGGGCCCTGATGACTGTAATAATTTATTTTACATATCTTAACGACCTCTCGTATTTATCATTGTTTATGACGAATCGCCGGTGAGCTCATTAAAGAGTCCATAACGGCTGTTGAGTTATCGGTCGATGACCTAGGAACGATTCTGTAACCGACTGAGATGACATTTTATTTGTTTATACACGCTTTGTTCGAATTTAAATGAGTGACAAATCTAGCCCGTATTATAAAACAACACCAAAAGGTAGTTAGTATACTTAGTTCAAATCTAGGGTGTAGATTAATATTGCGTTTACAAATATTTAGACTAAATCACAGGACAGCCTGTGCTTGAGAATGAATAGAGTTTTGAGACATTTTGTAATTTGGGTCTTAAATATCTAAGTTTACTTCTACACTTTACGTTTAAGTATGCCTTACTTGTAGTTCTCAAAAGTGGATATCAAGACTTGAATCCCAGAAGGGTTATCCGGAAATTCCTCTTTTTTGTTGACAAACGTGATAACTTTCATCTTCCCGAGATAAAATAAATTAAACAATGATAGGAAGGTATGCTTATATTTAGGCTAAGTTTGAAAAAGAACTCATCTACTCTCGTAAGGTACCAAGTTCGAATGAGATATAAAGCATGGACTTTGAATGCTGGTATTGATGACTCATGACAGTCACAAGGTATAAATAAATAAATAAATCATTACGTCTTGGTGGGCACCAAAAACAGCACCAAAATATCATAGAGTAGTCTTAATCCGGCACTGGTCATAATGTACAAAATCTATCTATATAAATAAAAATGAATTGCTGTTCGTTAGTATGATTAAAACTCGAGAACGGCTGGACCGATTGAGCTGATTTTGGTTTTAAAATGTTAGTCGTAGTCCAGGGTAGGTCTAAACGGTGAGCAAATAAGGAAAAATTGCGATGGCTTATTTATTTATGGCGGAACAGAGTTCGCCGGGTCATGAAGATACACGGGGAGCTAGTTATGAATAAAGTAGACATCCATGACTTCGAGTATAAATGTGCGCGCTTATCACTCAAAACAACTGCAGCTGCTGACATTGTAGTCATTGTAGATAGATTGTAGTCCGGTAGGTACGATTTTTGTACTTAATTAATTACGATAAGGGATTATTATTATGCATACTATTGTTTCATCATCATCATCATTTCAGCCACAGGATGTCCACTGCTGAACCATAGGTCTCTCTAACCCAGAGGTTACCTAACTTATTTGAGACGCGCCCCCTTTCGACCATAAAAAAATCCGTGCCCCCTTCCTCTTTCCAGATTATTTATTGGTCGCATCAAGCAGTCTGGAAAGTATTTTCTCAGCGATCGCAGGTTTTTTAATTCTGAACTACAAAAAAAGTGGCTTGCGCCTCCTTTAAAGGTCTTACCACACATTTTGGAACCCCTGATCTAAACATAGGTTATTTTGTTTATTATTGTCATACCTGAGTCTGGTTGCTTTCGAGCTGGTCGCGGGCCTGCTTCACCATGTCGGTACAGATTTTGCAGACGCTGTCGTTGTCCTCCGGGAATTGAATCTTGGGCCACACGCGCTCCACGCAGTGCTTTGTGGCGTGGCATTCGTGACCCGTACTGTGCAGAATATAAAGTTCATTATTTAATCATTCTTAAAGGTGCATAGGCATTATTTACAAAGAGTCGTAGAATTGCAAACGTTAGAAAATCGAGGAACGTGAGCGAGATAAAAACAAAAGAACATCAATATTGGTCGTCAAAAAATTAATTGGTTGTTATCTTAGTGGCCAATATGCCGTATGCTCTTGGTTTGCTTGCATCTCACCTAATAGAAATGGTGGAAGCGAGCTATGTATCATTAACTGAATACATTGTGAAATCCTTAATCATTTTGATCAGTTAATTTTAAATGAGAGTGACGTTACATCGCAGTATGATGACGATTCGTAATTCAATTGAACTACTCATTCAAAAGTACGGAAAAAAAGGTGGTGCAACTCAGCCTAAAGATGCAACTATGTGTATTAGCCAATTGGTAAACTTAACCATTGTGTTTATTTTTCAACGGACATTGCACGTTAACTGCATGACAAATACTAATCATCATAGTCATGGTTAATAAAACGTTCCTCGGTCCGAGAACTGCGATAAGCAAATCAAATTCTTGTTATACAACACAGTAACAAAGAGGCGCATTGTGCAAACCGGCCGCGGTGGCCGTGTTGACACACTGACTTGTAATTTGAGACACTTCCACTGTTCACCACATGTTCTCAAACTTCCCCTTACTACAAAAAATGGAAAAAATTGGCCAAGTGCGTGTCGTGCCACGCGCCAGTTGTCCGTTATTACCACAACATATTTCAGAAGCAAGCAATTTCTTCATCTAAAGTCATTTTTAATACGATACCCCACACGATGGGACTTTACATGTAGGGGAGCTAGGTACCCTAAAAATTTTTATTTTTCAAAATTTTATTCTACCGTTTTGTCGGTGTGATTAATATGCTTATGCATACCTCCACAAAATTACAACTCTCTAGTGACAACAGTTTCCAAGCAAAACCTCGGACAGACAGACAGACAGACAGACATATCGAAACTATAAGTGTTCCTTGTCAGGATTACGGAACCCTAAAAAATAAACCCGCGTTGATCACTAGTTTAAATTTACATTTAGGCTGTGTTGTATTGATTTTGACATATTTTTGAGGTTTGTTGAAGTTAAAGTAACATGGTGCAAGCCAGCCTAATAGAAATGTTATTTTAAACCAGTGATCATCGCGCGTTTAACTTTTTTGTAATATAGCACACAGTACGGGACCATTTTGGTCAGTATAGCTAATTCTGCATATAATCAAGTAATATTTTATTATTTTTCTATGACAGGTTCCAGAATATTTATATTTAGCTTGTAATGCATGCATGAGTCAATATAATTTGCTTTGAAATTGAAGATAACAATATGTTTATCAGTGAGGTCGAGTGTTCACAATAAATTGACATAAGGCAGACTACAAACGTTTACAAATAAAATTACGTTTATAATTACAAATATATGCAAAATGTGCGGATTTTTCGTTTTTCTTTCCTGCCATCCTCATCACGTCGTATAAAGAATATGTCCTCTAACATGTTCAAAGCAATTTAAACCACAACGACAATACCCTAATGTTGAGAACCGCTGTTCTGTTTGCATTAACTGAGCAGTGCTGTCCGGTCACTGGGGTTTGGTTCAACACGCTAAGTTCGTTTCGGAACTAACCAGCTGTTATGCAACCATTGTTCTACTTGAAGTAAAACAATACTATTTCGTGCTATAGCCGTTATTCACGCGCTGCTATCGATACATTAGTCATTATTGAATATCATCAAGCGAAACGTAGCACTTTGTCTTTGTAATAAATGTTATTTTGCAACAAAATTGTATAGCCTGATGTGCTATCGACTGTAATATGTCATTGTTTCTGTGACAAAGACTGAGGTAGGCAAAGACACTGATATTTTCAATGACTATCGTGTGATAGGTCATCATCGTCATCAATAGTCAATCAAATGCATTTAGCAATTAACAGAAACGGGAAGAAATAGGAGTTTATCCTCCAGAGTAGTACAGTCGCAAACAAAAATGAAATTTTACTCAATTTATTTTAAACCTTATCACAGAAATAAAATTCTAAATAAAAAAAAATCAATTTGCACTTTTTGCGATCACAGGAAGCGAAAAACATTTAGACAAAATATAATTAGTAAACTGCTAAAAATATAATAATATACAGGTGTGTTATTTTGGGAATTTTTGTCAGAGTTGAAGAAAATTGGGTTACGTCAATTTACTACTCTTTGAGTCGCTAATAAGTGATTACGTCATAAATATGTAAAGCATAGCATCATTAAACCATAACCTACAATGTTATCAAAACAACTAAAAACTAATTCTACATTAAACGCAAATTGGATTTTCGGAGATAACATATTTTTATGCTCAATAATAAATTAATAAGTAAACAATGTTTCAATAAATTTATACCAGTATTTAACGAGTTTTATTATGCACTAACGATAAGCTTATCTAAATAACTGTAAAAAAATAATATCAACGCGACCGTTGTTTGGTGACAGGAAACACCGAGTACAGATTAGTCAGTGTAAAGACATGACAAACGAGCTATTTTGCATCTTATGCAGTTGAATTAAGTGCGATGTTGCAACAAAAAATTTATAGTCTGATATGCAGCCAAATTTTTAAATCTTGTCATTCGTGAATTTAAACACGAACTTTATTAATACTGCTATTAATATAGTAATATTAAACTTTTCGGAATTAATATGATTCACTAAATGCCCGACACACACTTGACGTTTTACGCAGCGCCATCTAGTCCCAAACTAAAGCTGGGTTGTACCATCTTACAAGAAGCACCGGTTATCGTTATATTTACGGTTAACTTAAGGTGATGTAACTCAGCCTAATCAATGCTTGTACTGTGGGTACCAGACAATGGATATAAAAATAGTTTCAATCTTTTTTTAAATAAATTTTAGCGGCTTTGGGTTTAAGCCAATACCTATAAAATGTTCCCAAAATAAAAAATAGTTCTCACCTAAAGTTGTTGCACCAGTAAGAGGGTCCCCATGTGCAGCGGGAAGCGCCGACCAAGGGAACTGGAAAAAAGACATGGTATGTTTAGTATGCCCATTATTAGTATAGATAGATATACTAGCGACATTCCTGATGAAATGAGTGTAATTTTTAGTTAATATATTAATTTTACTGATTAACTCATAAGGCTAGATAAAAAAAACTATCACTTACTTTTCTGATTGGCCTGTTTCTTAGGTTCTGCCTTCTTTTTCTGAAAACAAAATAAATCTGATTGATATGGCCCATGGGAGCGGCACGGGAGGGGTGGCATTGACATAATATTATGACGTGACACAGTATACAAATCTGAAGAAGATCTGATGTCTCGTTGACGTCTGACGTTACAAACTCGAGTAAGTTGACGTTACAAGACTCAGGTACTGATTGAGTTAAGTGCTAGACTTATATAAGGTTATTATTTATACAGGGTGTTAGGTAAATGGGTATATGAGCCGACACTAGCCCATGCTAACATGGTCATAAAAATGGTATGGTGAAGTCAGAAAATTTATATCTTCATTTTAATAATTTTATTTTTCATACAAATCGGATTTTATAAAATTTATTTTGTATGAAAATAAAAAAAATTAAAATGATGATATCAAACTTCTGACTTCACCATACCATTTATATGCCCATGTTAACATGGGCTAGTGTCGGCTCATATACCCATTTACCTAACACCCTGTATATACGAAAGCCGAAACACGTGTCACGTATTTTTTTAATCTTTAGAATCAGTATAAAAATAAATTAAAACGATACCTTAAAAACTCACGAAGTTCCAAGCTTTATTTGTTGTCCCATTATCCGCACGCGAGTGTAGACATCGTACAGCGCGCGGCACTTTCGCTTTTTAGCTCGCTTAGCTTTGACAACATTTTCCATACGCGCAGAACACTTTAGTAAGGTGTCCGTAAATTAAGGATTTGTAAATATTATTTAGTCAAAATGTAACATGACAAAAAATATTGCGATGGATTCTGTTACTGATTCTGAACAAATAGTTTTAAGGTTTCGTATATATAGCCCGACCAGGAACATAAAAACCCTCGCCATGTTGCGGAAAACTAATGGTACTAATTTCTTTTAATGGCAACAGTAACTGAAAACTTCATTGACATGTCACCTTGCATGTCAGTCTATTGCTGTCAAAGTGTAAACAAACTTTATTTTAAATGTGCGCAATTGATTTTGTGAATTAAATTGCTAAAATCTTTTTATAGTCGTGAAAGAAAAGTGGTTCACAATGTGTTAAAGTATTTGTCGAAGAGAGATACTAAGGGTTCGGACAATATTTTCATTGAATAATGTGTCCGACAAAGGTTGTCAAATTGACTGACATGTTTATCGTATAGTACAGTCCACTATGAAAATTAGCTGTGGTTTGTTTCAACTACCTATTTTAAAGATTTTTGTCACTTTCTAAGTGTTGAAAAGAAGTACCGAGTTTGAAGAGTTCATGAGCAGACATTGCAGTTGAATATTCAAGTTCTGAATTTGATTATTGATGAATAATAAAATAAATCCTACTAGCTCGATTGATGGTTTCATTTAATTTATTTAAACCAGGTTACCTATAATAATATTTTTTCGTTAATTTATGAAAATATCAAATTAGCCCGTAATCCTGAATCCTGATACATAAAGTTAGCCTATTAATTTAACACAGGTACGACTGTACTCAGTGTTGCACTATCAAATGCAATTGACGCGCCTCTATGCCAGGGTTTTTATGTTCCTGGTCAGGCTATACTAAAAATAACCTTGTAGATTTTACTTAGATATTAAACAACTTAATATTATTTATTGTCTTACGTTGTTATTGATGAGGTGGTCCAGTTTCTCGTTGTTACACATGCCGATGATCTGGCACATGCCCTCAGGAGAGGTGCCTGACAGCAGTACATGGTATAAGTACTTGTGGAGTCCAGCCGTGTTCTCCTTGCAGGCGCTAGCCATGGCCTTGTAGGGCACATCGTGGCACGCTGACGCGACGCGACCGCTCAAGTATTCCTGGGGAAGAATTGGGTGTGTTACTGAAATGGCCACATCACGATATGCCTGGGCACATCACGATGTGGCCAAATCAACGATCGGCCTACGATATAACTAATATTTTTTGTTTCTTATTAGAAATGTTGCCTGGGTGAAAAAGCAAGAGTTTGGTCCCGTCCGTCAGTTAACTTAGCAAAAAATACCCCGACACGTATTTATTTATTTATTTATTTTTGGGAAACATACAGTTACAATTTTATTCGTTATTACGTATTTCTCACTTTTTCAAATCAATGAAAATTTACAGAGATAAAGCGCGCTCAATTAGTTCGTTAGTTAAACTATCAAAAAATACACGACATGTATTTCTCACTATTTAAAAAAAAGCAAAACGCGCCATAGCTCACGGAGGAGGCCTGTGACGTCAATGCGTGGTTTAATTGTAGCACGGCGTGAAGTCACGCGGTTAAATTTTATTTAAAACATAAATACTGTCACATAAATTAGGAAATTCAATAATGCTTCAATGGAATCAATGGCGAGACTAATAACAAAATTTAATAGCTTCTGTGTAACAATACCACAATTTTATCATGGTTGTTAAATGAATTGAGTGTGGCCAATTTAAAACTTTCACGATTAATTTGCAATGACATTTTTTTGCTGATGATTACATCAGCAAAAAAATGTGGAGATAAACTAAGGCTAGCGTTACACTGTATGTTATTGCATTTAAATTGCAATTAGCACACTACAAGAAAATTGGTCGCTCCGAAGCTGCTTTGCGGAAGATCCGCGACGGCATATCCCTCAAGTGTGGTTAAGGTCTAAGTTAAGTTATTTTATGCCAATTAATATTACTACTTTGTTTGTAACATAAAATAAGGACTCATAACTCTATCAAAGAAAAACATCGGACCCGTTATCTAAATGTAAATGAAGGCGTGTGCTATAAATAGTTATAAAGCGAAACTACTCCGATAAAAATATTAACGGCCAGTTATTGTCAGTAATGAGTTTTGAAATGAAAAATAAAGAGAAAAGCGTTAATAAATTAATTTTCACATGATTTGTCACGTTCTATTCGTAGAGGCGACTTAGGGACTACACATCAAACAGAGAATGGGCAGCAGCGCTCTCTGAAAAACATCAATCTTTTAAACTGCGATCTCCAACCCGCCTGCCAAGCGTGGAGATTATGGCAAAACCCTCCACTATAGTGGAGGAGGCTCATAGTCCAGCAGTGGACTGTAAAGGGCTGTTGATGATTCGTATTAGATTTATCGTAAAAGGCTAATACAAAGGTTGACAGGTTATCAGTATTTAAATGAACAACCTAATGAATGACGTCACTAAGTAGTATAATAGTTGAAGAACAATGTACAACAGCGCATCAGACTACATATTTTTTTTTGTATTATCAGTACCTCTAGCACGAAAAACTTTCGTCTTCGAATCGTTTGCGTATTCAACAAAATTCGACGAATACGCAAACGATTCGAGGTCGAAAGTTTTTCGTTCTAGAGGTATCTACATCGCTAGAATAGTGTTTGAGGGTTGGATATCTCGTTTTGGATGCCCTTCAAAGCTTACCAGCGACCAGGGTAGACAATTTGAAAGTGATTTTTTTAGACAGTTAATGAAATATTTGGGAATATACAAATTGCGCACGACACCTCATCATGACAGAAGACAACGTTTTTACCTTTAAGTTTCGTTGTATGTACAAAACAGCATTTATTATAACACAATATGCCAGTGTTTAAGCCTGTGTTTATCTGCTGTCTGTACAAATATCTAATAGCACGTATAACTTAAGCTACATACTTATAGCTCATACGGATACTTGTTATGCCGGTTGTCATTATACAACTGCGAGCGCGTACATAACAGAGAATAATAAAGCAAATAATAGCTACGTTATTGCGTTATTTTGATAACTGATTACGAAGTTTCACTAATTTTTGGTGAAAATTCTTCTTTATGTTTAGTTTAAGGGTATCTCAGGGTAACTATCCTTTAGCTAGGATGATGGTCTAGTAGAGATTGCTTTATAGCGACCGAACGCTTTTAGTGTGTATTATTCTTTCCTTTCTTGTTTTTGGTGAAGTGTAATCTATCTATCTCAAGGATCGCGGTATTCTCCTACTTATCAATAATATCCTTAACCCATCAAACCCCAAGCGGTTGCATAAAACAGCGTGCCTGATTTCTATTGTGTCTCGATTCGCGGGGCATGAAGGGGTAGGTAATACCTAAATTATACGTAACTTTTAGGCTTGTAAATAGATGAAATTAGTTTCGTTTACTCGAGGCTCATTTCGAAAAATTCAATTTACATAAACACTGGAAAATTCTATCAGCTCCAGCTACAAATATCTGTTTTCATCAAGCAATCAAGTTTGGGTACTATGTATTAAATTCTTACCTCATTAATAAGGTCCTTCACGTCCTTCAGCTGTCGGAACAGCCTGACAAACTTGTCGGACACCTCGTTGCTGGTGACGTCATAGTTCTGCGACTCCCAGACGGTCCCGATGCAATGGCCCACGGCCCCGCAGTCGGCCCCCTGTCTGGGTCACGGTGAATCACGGGTAAGTATTAAACAATCGGAGCTTAAGTGGTAATGTAGGGGGAACTGTTGATTATACAGGGTGTTAGGTAAATGGGTATATGAGCCGACATTAGCCCATGTTAATATGGTCATTTTAATTTTCATTCAAATCGGATTTAATAAAATTTATTTTGTATGAAAATTAAAAAAATTAAAATGATGATATCAAATTTCTGACTTCACCATACCATTTATATGACCATGTTAACATGGGCTAGTGTCGGCTCATATACCCATTTACCTAACACCCTGTATTTGTTGACGATTTCATTGGATTGACACAAGAAATTGGATTAGAATATTTCAAATATTATCGTTATTATAATTTATGAAACACACAATTGTTATGTACGAGTAAGTATACTAAGGCTGGGTTACACCATCCTACTTTAACTTTGACAAATGTCAAAAATATGTCAAACTCCATACAAAAAACACCGGTTATCGTCATAGTTACGGTCCAAGTTAGTTGGTGCAACTCAACCTAAGATTGTAAATGCGATAGTTTATTAGAATATGAATGGATGTTTGTTACTCATTCTTGCTTGTGGAATAATTATTTGGATGAAGGTTGCTACATAACAATAAAAGTAAAATTAATTAAATATAAGTAGGTACTTACTTGAGATTCTGGCACCAATAAACAGGTCCTTTTGAGCATTCTTTTGGTACTTGTCGAGCTAACGACAAATCTGCAGACAAAGTATGAATAAAATGTAATAGGATAAAAAGAAGGTTTATTAACAGACAATACAGTTACTTAAGAACAAAGAAATTAATTTGTTACAAATAAGAGTGTCAATAAGAATTATTGTTCAGTAAGATTGATCACAATCATTATCATTTATCACGAATAATGTCCACCAACACTTTCTAAACAAAGCAAAGTTTATATTTATCAAAATAACCGACATCAATTTGTACTTTCAAACTTATTTGTACCTAAACTACATAAGGTAATTATTACAATATTACAAAGAGGTAAGTAAGGAGAAAGGATGGTCATGAGCGCCATTTTGAACCATAAAAACATGAAGTTTGGTTGAAAAAGGATATAAGAGTTAAGAATGTTTGAAGTGAAATGTGAAGGAGATAAAGTGGCAAAGCAGGTCATAATAATAGCAGCAAAACAGATAACAGCAGGATTTATGTCGCAGTTCAATAGTTCATTAAACTATTATTAGCCATTTATAATACAAAAATAGAGTCACGAGTTCTAGGGCTTGTGTACCTACATAATTAATTAGTGAATAAAGAGAATTACAGTTATGTTTTTTTTGTGAGTGTGAAGTTATTGTCTTTATTTTTATGACTAAAGCTGATAATAGATATTGGTCCTGGTGGTGTGGCAAGTCTACAATCGCTTCCCATACCTAGACGTAGGGCTAGACCAATTACCACTTCAGTGTTTTGAAGGTTTTAGTTGAATAAAAAATATTATTTATTTTGGCAAAAAATATAATGTTATTGAATTCTAATGCAAAGGAAATTTTTATTTGCTTACTCAACCAATAAGCATCCAATCACCTTTGAATAGAAATGAGTCACATCACACACAATTACTCATGTTTAGTAATGGAGTGATCATGTTTCCTGCATCAGAAACGGGTGTCATATTGTTATTTATCAGGCTACTACTGTTATTATTTAACGCAGTTCAGTGGTTTGTTAAAATTTGCAGATTTGCCAAAAAATAATGTTACTATATAATTAATAATAACCAAAAAAACAATAGATAAAGAGTTATCTATCAGCATAATTTTTTTTTATGAATAATGAGGCTTAATTTATCAAATAGTAATGTAATTTTCCTCAATATGAGTTTTAATGCACCTCAAGATTAGCTATAAGTGTCTGAAATATAAATGACATAATAGAACAACTATTATTTCCTGATTATTAAGTCATAATTCAGAAATCTGCCGAAATTTGCTTGAAGATTTCAGCTCATTTGTTATGTTACATGAGGACACAAATATGATAGTGATATCAATAATCTTTTGTTGTTTGCTACGACAAATACAGATGGGCAACGAAACAACATAAAAACCAGGACCCCAACGAAAGAAAAAATGTGATACGGGCGAATGTAGAAAAAACCGAGCATACAATGAAGCAACAATTATTATTATTTCCCTCAGCTGTGGCCCACAGCTTGTGGGTAAATAAATTCATATCGTTGAACAATAGTCTTAGTTCAAAGAGTTCATAGCACGCAAAAATATCATTTTTATGGCAAGGACAGTAATGTAATTACGACAAAACCAATTAATCAAAGTTGTTTACTTACTTGTACAACAAAAGAGAGCGATGGAGAGAAGACAAACACCTAACGCGTTCGCCATGGTTGCCTTTTGCGGCACAAAGATCACCTAAATTTAATCCGTTTTGTCTGACTCGATTTAAACACGTAAAAGAATAAACAACTACCCAACAATTTTCACTTGTAACTTATTGCGTACCTATTGATTGATAAACAAATGTCAAGTCACTGATGAATGAATGAAGTTTAGTAAGCAGCTGTCGATGAATGAATGAATAGAACGAGTCTACTTGTAACGAATGAATGAAATTTAATTGAAAGTGTAATTTAGCGCCATCTGTATATATGCTTTCATCTTGAGGTAATTAGTGGTTTTACTCAGCAATAGATGGCGCTGTTGCATTGTGCTACTTAAAGTTCTTCTACTCGTTAATAGATGGCACTACTATTTTTTATAATAGAGCTATTATTAAAAATGTTACTTTAAAATCCTATAAATCACATCAATATAATTGATCAAATGTTAAATATTGACGGAAAATAATCGTATAATTAGTAATCTTTTTCTACGGTATCAGACGTAGGCCAACCTAATAAAATAATAACTTAATAAAATCGACGGCTGAAAGTGCTTTCCGAACATACGGCTAGCACGAAAAACTTTCGAGTTCGAATCGTTTGCGTATTCGATAAAATTCGATATTCAACCTTCGAATTAAACGATAACGTAATTTTGATTCTCAAAATAAGTTTCGTGCAACCATTTCTCATACTAAGTTCACTTTAAGACACGTTCACAAGGGCGCTACTACCTATTGTAGTTTTCGTACTAAGTAAATCTTTTGATGGCGATTCGAATACTTACGCAAACGATTATCTAAAAAATTAAGTCCTAGATATTTCCGTTGAATCATAAAAAATCGGTTAACGAACTCTCATGCTAAGTTAGTAAAGGTACAAACAAAAGCACGTTGTCTGTGTGTTGTTGGAGGAAATAACTACACCACAAGTATTTTCAGTAATTTATTTATTTATTGATAAAGGTACACCAACAGCAATACACATTTAAGACATTCACAGTATACAACACATATTGGGGTTTTAGTTTAAATATGTTTGCCAATTACAGGTAGGTATACACAACAATTTCCAAAACATTGCAGCTTATATAAATATTTGTGTATATTATTATGTCAACGTGAAACTGTGAACCCCGTCAGTCCACAACATAACGCGTTAGATTGTAACTTATGTAACAGTTAGATACGGCTTTCATATTTGTAAACATTTATTCAAATTGACTTTATAAAGGATTTATATCCTTGATTCGTCATTTGTAGAGCTACCTATTATAAATAAACGATCAACTAATAAAGTTACACCTCCAAGTCCAAAAAAACCTGCGCCCAGAACATAATAGACTGAGAAGCTTATATTTACGTCAAAAGTATAGCTATAACTCGTGTTTTTTAAGACGCACCTCGACCGCTCGGGTTGCGGAACAAAATAGGTATTTCTCCCAGGTCGGTTTTTCCTGAGACACAATTAGGATATTTTCCTCGGGGAGCGGGCGAGTCCGTAATAAAATTAAGGAGACGCCGAGCGGTCGGCTGCGGTAAGTCGATGCCTTCGGTAGGCATAAAACAAATCCGCCCGAGCGCGTCGAGCGGTCCGTGAGCACTCGTCTTTGGACTTCTGTAGAGACGCTCGCTGTCTTTTAATTTTTATTTTTACACTGTCTTCACATGGATTGCGATTTTTGGTATGCTGTAAAATGTCCTTTCTATTTTCACTTTGACGTGAGTAATAAGTAAAAAGTAAACACACTTGTAAATAAAAAAAACTTTTCAGGATGAGCTTCTTTAAGAAAATGCTGGAAATTACGGTTAATCGTAGATAACCATTAACACTAGAAACGTTGGGAAAGGATAGAATCCTCAATGATTAAAAATAGAGTCAGATAAAGAGTTAGTTACATAATGTGACCACCAGATATGGCTGTTACCACTTGAGGCAAATCTTTACAAAATATTACGTTCCCTGTAATCCACGGATTCTAATTAGCTAATTAGCCAGAAATGCCTTTTATACATTTTGGAGTGTAAAAAGTCAATTCACAGCAAGGTTAATCTGAACCGGTACCACTGAACTTCTTTTGTTACGACTTATCTGGCTTCATTAGTTTTTGTTTAGAATTTCCTTAAACCTTTTTCCATATTCAAAAGTTTTAAAATAATGTAGTAAATCGGCGACTCCATGCCTTCGTCCACGTGCACGATGTTCACATATTCTGGATAACACTTCAATACGGGACAGCAGTGGACTCCGCGGCGTGACGCGCCTGCCTACGACTGTCGCACCCAATAACTATAATTGGGGTAACAAATAGCTCGTCTTTTGTACAGGTGTTACCTTTTTTTGCTTAGTTTTTCAGTTTTTGTTGTATTTTAGAGGATTCCTAACTTTTTTGTTGTTTTCAGCGACTATATTCATAGTTCTGAGACTGTATGCTCACTGTATTATGCTCTAGCTCTCTAGCTTTAGGGGTTTTTCCTGACATTAGTATTTCTATGCAGTTTAAGTTTCTGATAGAATATCCCTATTATTAAACTGATTGACTTTTTAACATTAAAACTGGTTTTTCTTAAAAACACTATTTATACTGTTAACTATCATTATACTTATTGTACCTACTTAAATCCGAACTAACCGAAATTGCAGTAGTATGCCAGTAGATTGAATTGAACACTCAAAATAAACTTTTTCTTCGTATGCTCCTAACTTAACATTGTACTGAATAGAAGACCTAAATTTCGCTCTAGATCTGGAAACTGCAATAGCATCCAAATCACCTGTGTCCTCAAAATATACGGCGGGCAAAGATCGCTGTAGTGGAGTCGCGAAGTTCCAGCAGTTAGGAAAGATTTGTCGCGCGCCCGCCACCTAATGCCGGCTACTTTTGCTTGTAAGTAAAAATTATGATTATAGCCGGCGGGCGCTGAGCTCTTGATCCTTAACTAACGGCACCTAGCGGTCGGACGACACCAGACTTTCCTTTTCTTCTTAACTATAACTCTTTTTTATTGCCCGTACCAGCCGGCCACTAGATTACCGACCTAACTGATCACAAGAGGCAAGCTCTTTCGTAAGGTGCTTACGGATCGAGCGATCGGATTATTGAAACTGCGTGATTATTAGTTTTACTGATCAAATTATTTCAGTGGTTTCAGGAGGATTTCTTTAGTTAAGCTTAGTTACTACAAGTAATATTGCCTTTAAATAACATAAGTAGATCAATTATAGGTATACCTATATCAATGACAGAAAAAAATAGGAAAATTCTTGAAAATGTAAAACTATTGGTAGGTATTAAGTAGGCACAACTTACTATTCTGGAATAAGCTTGACGGAGGTACTTAAATAAATTATATCACAAAGCCCGATCGATGCAATTTTGAATGAAAAACCATCCCTAAGCGACTAAAGTACTCTATTTGAATAATAATCTGCTATTAGCGTTCCCAAAGTTAACAGCCTCACTTAAAAACTTCCCAAATGTAACTATAAAAAGAAAATTGGCTTCCATAAACGCATCCCTGTCTACTTAAAGTGTCATGAAACATGGAAGTCGGTTCGCGAATGCAATACAATACATAAATGAAGCTAGAGGGAGGTTGCGACGGTCGATCAAGGAAGCGAGTGCAGCGTTGCCTTGGCGACGCCGCCATCTTGCCCCCGGGCCCCTCCCGGGCGGGCCCCAGCCCCCCTCTGTAAACAACCGCTGTATCGTTGCACTGAAACACTCGATATGTTTAAAAGGTTCTCCCGGGTCGGTTCAGATTCACCGCCGAGTTATATTCGGAATTTATTGGGGATGAGTTTAAATTATTTTCGGTTGCAGTTTAAATAGCACAAAAATATTGTTAAAGGCTATTTCTTTCGTGATCTAATATTTAATTAAATATTTACTACCATCATGATCTTCTTACTACTTAACTAGCTAAGTACTTATCCTTAGTTTAATAGAACTAGACTAGTTAAATTCCTAATAAACTTGCAAATGAAAATTGTCATGTCAAAACGCGTAAGTAGCATCTAGACTCTAGTTCTAAGAAATATTGTCGTAGACTATGCCAATCAAAGATCGAAAGCAAAATCAATTTTCGCAGTCGAAAGTTGAAGAATCTTTACTGAAGAGTTTTAAATTTTCAATTAAATAGTGTGTCGTAGTACCCAATAAACTGTTTCTTGTTCTTACTAACGTCCGCACTTTTACCCTAAGTAGTTTTCAGCAACACTTAAACAATTTTCAATGATCCCAAACAGCCTATTAATGCTTTAGGTTATTGTGTATCATCGGACGTTTATGGGCAGCAGACCAGCCCACCTGCAGCGAGCGCGGGCGAAGACGGATCGCCCCATAACTCAGGATTAGCCACGTCCACTCCAGCGTGGCTGCATACTGAATTAAAATCATACCTGGAGTTTTTCACACTGACTTTCACTCGATGGACAAAAGCCGCGCTGTCGACCGCTGCGTGAAGTATTTGGCTCGATTTGCTAGTGAAAAGTGAAACCAGATGTTTTCTAAATATATTTTTTTATAAATTACGAGTAGGTAGATTAGATTAATCATCACAATAAGTTACTGAACCTACCTAATACTTACTGAAAATCTATTTTCACTAAGGAAAACAAAATGTTGCATAGTGAATTAGGCTTTGGAATAATTTATAATTTGATAATTAAAAATAGTTTAGTAATTAGAGCATGCTACTAAGGTGCACCCTTGTCACACTGACTAAACTAATTCGAATAATCTACATTTATGTAAGATTTTAAAGACTTATTTATAAGCTTTTCCAACTGCGCACCTACGCTTAATTCTTCGGACGAAATTTTGTTTAATTATGTACAAAACATTATTCATGTTGGAACTTCGTGTTCTACATACGGTCAATTGTATTCAGTATTTCGGGAGAGCAGTCTGAATGAGGTTTTACCCCTATTGTTATAAGGGTTGCCTGTTTAGTCGTGTGGGTGGCTATGTATTTGCGAAACGGTTGGTGTTCCATATGTTAATACCCATTAAGTTCATATTATTAAAGTAGAAGGCAATCTGTACGGCGTTTTAATGTATTATGTAGAATTATAAAGGCGCGCAGCGCGCTTACTTCTTATGATTTATTCATAAGTTCATGAGGCAGGGACGATGTTAAATTTGAACATGCCTTGTGGGGCGCTTTGCTCTGAAACGTCAAGTGTTT